TTTAAAAGGTCAGTTTCTGTGCTACACAGTTATATCATGTTTTCTGTACATTTTGATTATTTTCTTCATTTTCTTGTCCTTTAAAAGCCTCCAGAGGACAGACGCTGCTTCAACTCTAGAATATGTATTTGTGATGATCCCTAATTGGATAAATAAATCAAAATAAACAATGGTTAAGATTGTTTCATGTTAATATTTGTTGTGTTTGTTAGAATAAGTTTCTATTTCAGTTTTCATTCATTCTTTTTGAAACTTTTCATCATTTTTTATTTTTCCCGCTGGTTATGGACGCTGTACAGTTATGATGGGTAACCGTGGCAACAGGAGTTTGTTTTTACAGGTGAGAACAGCTAATTGGCTGATCAGCATCTCAGAAGCTCAGCAGATCTTCAGGGATCAGATGTGCGACTACGTCTCTCTGCATTTAACAAAACGGCCAGAAAAGATTTAAGAGCTGCAGCAAAAACAATTGAGGTGGATTAGCAGAGCTTGACATTACAAAAGAAAATCGTCTCTTCTGCTCAGATATTGAGCTGTTAGCATCTCACAAACAGCTGCAGTCTTCAGTCAGAGGCGTTCTCAGATTTGTTGCGAGGTTGACTGCTACTGGAGATCCTTCGTACCACAACGACTCAAAAGGTGCTTGGATGATGTGAGTTGGAAGAACATTTAATTTCACTTTGGGATAAGTTACATTTTGTAATTTGTAACTGAATAAAGTGAAAGCAGATCATTTGAGGGGCAGAAAGTTTGTCCAGAGATCACCTGCAGCTCAGAGGAGACGCTGCTTCCTTTCCAGGACAGGCGTTCTGCCTCCAGCACGTTTCCCTCCACATGTCCTGGATATCAGATTCCCGAGAGAGCGAGACGGATCGCGCCACAGCAACCATTTCCCCTCTTCTAACTTTATCCCAGAAAAGTCTCATCCTGAACGCAGCACCAAAGGTCCTGCAGCACCAAGCTCAGCTGCAGCACCAAGCTCGGCTGCAGCACCAAGCTCAGCTGCAGCACCAAGCTCAGCTGCAGCACCAAGCTCAGCTGCAGTACCAAGCTCAGCTGCAGCACCAAGCTCAGCAGCACCCTAACTCAGCTGCAGCACCAAGCTCAGCTGCAGCACCTAACTCAGCTGCAGCACCAAGCTCAGCTGCAGCACCTAACTCAGCTGCAGCACCAAGCTCAGCTGCAGCACCTAACTCAGCTGCAGCACCAAGCTCAGCTGCAGCACCAAGCTCAGCTGCAGCACCAAGCTCAGCTGCAGCACCTAACTCAGCTGCAGCACCTAACTCAGCTGCAGCACCAAGCTCAGCTGCAGCACCTAACTCAGCTGCAGCACCAAGCTCAGCTGCAGCACCAAGCTCAGCTGCAGCACCAAGCTCAGCTGCAGCACCTAACTCAGCTGCAGCACCAAGCTCAGCTGCAGCACCAAGCTCAGCTGCAGCACCAAGCTCAGCTGCAGCACCTAACTCAGCTGCAGCACCAAGCTCAGCTGCAGCACCAAGCTCAGCTGCAGCACCAAGCTCAGCTGCAGCACCAAGCTCAGCTGCAGCACCAAGCTCACACAATCAGTGCATCAGACGGTCAGCAGAGAAACAGAGTGGTCGATTTGCTTCCTGACGGATGCAGGGCGTTTACCAAACACAAAAAGCGGCAGCACTTTATTCTATTTCAGTCTATTTTCACTGGCTGCCAGCACATTTTAAAATGAATTTTAAAATGTCAGTATTTACGTTCAGAGCGCCGACCTCTCGGACTTGGAGCCGCTCAGCTCAGCTTGCAGTCAGAGATCTTCCAGCTAAAATTCATTCATTAAGACTGAATTATAATAGGTTTTATGCTTCCTTTTACTTATTTACTTTGAACTTTATTTAGCTAGAGAAGCTGATTGAGAACAAATCCTCTTTTTTAACAACAACTTGTTCAGGAAATATAAAAACTTCATACAGCAGAAAATAGAAGAAAATCATAGAACAAAAAATAAAAATAAACCAAATTTATATTGACCAAACCAGGGTTCAATCCAGTCCTCCAGAGCCATCCTGCAACCTTTAGATACATCTTTACTCCAACAGATCAGGACTGGCTCTCATGGGCCTGGGCTAAGGTTAGAGGTCAGGAGTCAGGGGTTAGCAGCTCTGGAGGACTTGAGCATCCCTGGACTAAACAAACTGCAACACAGGATAAGTGAAGAGTTTTTCTCTGAGTTGATCAAAATTGATATTGGTGTTTATCTTCTGAGCTTCAGTGTTTCTTGCAAGTTGTTTCAATAATGGGTGCAACAAAATGAAATGATGATTCGTCCACTGATGTGATTCATTTATTAGAATGTGAAATGCAGGTATTGCTGAAAAAATGGATGAGTGAGGCAACAGGAGGAAGGATTTGGTTTTTCCAGTGATAGCTTAAAAGATGAATTTGTACCAATTTATTAATCTGGGTGAATGGAGTGATGGCCAGTAGACGAACCTGTGGTGATAATGAGAAAATGTTTGACCTTTGATGTATTGTTTTCATCAGTTTTTTATGCTTTTATCATCTGTTTTTAATCTTTGTTTGTATGTTAAAGCAACTTGTGGTTCTCTGACCTGTGAAAGGTGCGACATAATATTATTTTCCTTTTGTAAGGCTGCAGCACTAACAGTGATGCACATAATGGCACATGTAGTTTGTACTATTTCTTTAAATGATGAGGGAGGTAGATGGACTTCTTTGGGAAAGTAAATGTCAAAAGAAATATATTCATTAGTACATCAAAAAAAAAATAAACTGTTGACCAAAGGGCTCTGCGTGTTTAAATGCCAAAGAATAAAAAGTAAACAAATAAACAAGTTTTGAGATTTAATGAGGTTCTCAGTATTAAAAGACAAGCTGTAATAGAATTTCCTCCAAAACAGCAAGCTGCCATGAAAGGACATCTTTAAGGTTGTTATGGAGGCTTAGTTATTCCTTTTGGTTTGTGTCAAACAGCTCCTCTGTCCAAACAACTGTATTTATTAAATTGGAATGGTTCTTGTTACAAACTAGTTTTTATTGACTGAAGCTCTAAATCTTGACGTGAGATTCAGACTTCAGACAAGACAACCTAGAGAACAGGTTGAGTCTGTTTTCAAGCAAGAATATCAATACAAGTTCATGATACCGTAATAAACTGGCTGTCGGTTTACTTTAAGTATTTCCAGTGATAGTATTTGAAGTTATTTTCTAGATTAGAATGTGTATTCCAATGGACATCAGGAGGGATATATTAGCCAACGCTTAACTATTCGTTCTGTAAGCATTTACACCATAAGTCATTGATTTGATTTCATTTGTTTATCTTGACGTTTGTGAGGATAAATTCTCAGACTTTGTTGAACTGTTTATATTAGAAAAATTATCTTACTTCAAAGTCAAAAGGTGTAAAAATGAGTTGAATCCTGTTTTTTGATGAGTAAAAAATTGGTCTTTGTGTTTTATCCTTCCACATGTGGTTAGAATTAGCTTTATTTATAGGTTTAATTACACCCTGAGTGACATTTTTCCCAAACGGGTTGTTAATTTAAATAAACCCAGGACCGTGGTTTCCACCCGGTCCTTAAAGAGAACGGAACCGGAAGTGAGCAGGGAAACCGTTCCGTCTCTGTTTTCATTCCCGGTTCTCCGTCATGAAGGAGGCGAACATGGCTCCTCCGGTGGACCTCGGGGCTCTGCTTCGGGCGGAGCCGCCGGGGGACGCTTCTCCGGGAGGCCGGGCTGTGTGTGGTCGGTGTGTTCGGAAAGAGCGGCGCCCAGACCGGGGCTCTGAAGGAGACGCTCATCAACACGCTGGCGGACAAACACATCTCTCTCTGTTCGGGTCGGAGGAGGGCGACTCGTCGGACAGCTACGTCCAGGCTCTCTACGACCAGGAGAACCGAGTCCTGTACCTGCTGCTGTCCTCCGTCTGCGACAGCCGGCAGCTGCTGCGGGCCTGTCGGTCCCTGAGCGCCGGGATCAGCCACGCCGACGCCCACGACGTGTGGAAGGGCCTGGAGCGCCAGCACTGCCTGCACCTGCTCTACATGTTCTCCGTGTGCCACGTCCTGCTGCTGGTCCACCCCAGCCAGACCTTCGATGTGACCTACGACCGGCTGTTCCGGGGCCTGGACGCCCTGCGGCAGAAGGTCCTGCCCCTGATCCGGGCCGCCATCAAGGACTGCGCGGTGTCCAAGGAGTGGAAGCTGAACTGCAGGCCGTGTCCTCCGCGGCTGCTGTTCGTCTTCCAGATCAATGCGAGCCTGAAGGTCTGAGCTGCCAGTCAACTTATCTACACCATGTTGCAAATGATTAGGAAAGTGATATTCTCAGATTTTCTTAGATGGCAAATGCAAGTCATGAACTATTACAGTATAAATCAAATGTTTCTGATCAACGCTCCCATCAGAACAGAATTTCTTCAAAATAAAAACTCAAAATGCTCACTTCCAGATTATTATGACAGCAGATTTTCTAAACATTTTATGGATTATGAAGATCTGCAAACAGTCATTCTGTGAATGTGCAGCATAATGGTCACATGTACTAAAACATCTTAACAGACGAGTTACATGTTAATATTGGACCTTCTCTGGTTTCACTGCTCAATTCTTCATCCATTGAACTGGTGAGTTTGTGGAAAGTTTCTGCTTGAATTTCTCTGCAGGATGTCAGAAAACCTTCCAGAGCTGCTGCTTGATGACCTGCATTAAACCCTCAGATCTCCAGAGGTTCCCAACAGGGTCAGAGGTCAGAGGAGGATGGTGACACACCACGAGTTTCTCTCCTTTCTGCCCATAGCAGCCAGAGACACAGAGTTAGTCCTTGCAGCAGATGCTGCATCGTCCTGCATGAAGATGGTTTTGCTGCTGAAGCTTCGGCTTTTTGGACCGAGACAGAAAGTGATCAATCAGAAAGTCCAGATTCTTTGCTGAGGTCATTTTCACACCTTCAGGTCTCTGAAGGGGCCGACCAGCTCTCTCTCTCTCTCTCTCTCTCTCTCTCCCTTGATTTGGGCCCACAGCATGACTCCACCTCCTCCTTGCTGACATCACAGCAGTGTTGGGACATGATGTCCGTCCAGCACCGTCCACGACTGCGTCCATCTGGACCATCCAGGGCTGGACAGCCGTCATCAGTGAACAAGTCTGAAAATGAATCTTCATACCCAGCTGGGCCCAATGCCACTGGGTCTGCTTGTGAGCAGCTTGGGGGCCAAATAGCAAGTTAGGGGTCCAGTAGCAGGTTGGGGGCCCAGTAGCAGGTTGGGGCCCAGTAGCAGGTTGGGGCCAGTAGCAGGTTGGGGGCCCAGTAGCAGGTTGGGGCCAGTAGCAGGTTGGGGCCCAGTAGCAGGTTGGGGCCCAGTAGCAGGTTGGGGGCCCAGTAGCAGGTTGGGGCCAGTAGCAGGTTGGGGGCCCAGTAGCAGGTTGGGGCCCAGTAGCAGGTTGGGGCCCAGTAGCAGGTTGGGGCCCAGTAGCAGGTTGGGGGTCCAGTAGCAGGTTGGGGGCCAGTAGCAGGTTGGGGCCCAGTAGCAGGTTGGGGCCCAGTAGCAGGTTGGGGGCCAGTAGCAGGTTGGGGCCCAGTAGCAGGTTGGGGCCCAGTAGCAGGTTGGGGCCCAGTAGCAGGTTGGGGGCCAGTAGCAGGTTGGGGCCCAGTAGCAGGTTGGGGCCCAGTAGCAGGTTGGGGCCCAGTAGCAGGTTGGGGGCCAGTAGCAGGTTGGGGCCCCAGTAGCAGGTTGGGGCCCCAGTAGCAGGTTGGGGCCCAGTAGCAGGTGGGGCCCAGTAGCAGGTTGGGGCCCAGTAGCAGATTAGGGGCCAGTAGCAGGTTGGGGGCCCAGTAGCAGGTTGGGGCCCCAGTAGCAGGTTGGGGGCCTAGTAGCAGGTTGGGGCCCCAGTAGCAGGTTGGGGGCCAGTAGCAGGTTGGGGCCCAGTAGCAGATTAGGGGCCAGTAGCAGGTTGGGGCCCCAGTAGCAGGTTGGGGGCCCAGTAGCAGGTTGGGGGCCCAGTAGCAGGTTGGGGGCCAGTAGCAGGTTGGGGCCCCAGTAGCAGGTGGGGCCCCAGTAGCAGGTTGGGGCCAGTAGCAGGTTGGGGGCCCAGTAGCAGGTTGGGGCCCAGTAGCAGGTTGGGGCCCAGTAGCAGGTTGGGGGCCAGTAGCAGGTGGGGCAGTAGCAGGTTGGGGCCCAGTAGCAGGTTGGGGCCCAGTAGCAGGTTGGGGCCCAGTAGCAGGTTGGGGGCCAGTAGCAGGTTGGGGCCCAGTAGCAGGTTGGGGCCCAGTAGCAGGTTGGGGCCCAGTAGCAGGTTGGGGCCCAGTAGCAGGTTGGGGCCCAGTAGCAGATTAGGGGCCAGTAGCAGGTTGGGGGCCCAGTAGCAGGTTGGGGCCCCAGTAGCAGGTTGGGGGCCTAGTAGCAGGTTGGGGCCCCAGTAGCAGGTTGGGGCCCAGTAGCAGGTTGGGGCCCAGTAGCAGATTAGGGCCAGTAGCAGGTTGGGGCCCCAGTAGCAGGTTGGGGGCCAGTAGCAGGTTAGGGGACAGTAGCAGGTTGGGGCCCAGTAGCAGGTTGGGGCCCAGTAGCAGGTTGGGGGCCCAGTAGCAGGTTGGGCCCCAGTAGCAGGTTGGGGCCCAGTAGCAGGTTGGGGGCCCAGTAGCAGGTTGGGGCCCCAGTAGCAGGTTGGGGGCCCAGTAGCAGATTAGGGGCCAGTAGCAGGTTGGGGCCCAGTAGCAGGTTGGGGCCCAGTAGCAGGTTGGGGCCCCAGTAGCAGGTTGGGGCCCAGTAGCAGGTTGGGGCCCAGTAGCAGATTAGGGGCCAGTAGCAGGTTGGGGCCCAGTAGCAGGTGGGGCCAGTAGCAGGTTGGGGCCCCAGTAGCAGGTTGGGGGCCCAGTAGCAGGTTGGGGCCCCAGTAGCAGGTTGGGGGCCCAGTAGCAGGTTGGGGCCCCAGTAGCAGGTTGGGGGCCCAGTAGCAGGTTGGGGCCCCAGTAGCAGGTTGGGGCCCCAGTAGCAGGTTGGGGGCCCAGTAGCAGGTTGGGGCCCAGTAGCAGGTTGGGGGCCCAGTAGCAGGTTGGGGCCCAGTAGCAGGTTGGGGCCCAGTAGCAGGTTGGGGCCAGTAGCAGGTTGGGCCCCTGTGGATCCTCCACCTTGAGGCTATTAACTGTTTGCTGCTTTAAGGTCATTTCAGCAGCTGATCTTTTGATTCCAGGAACTGAACAGAAACTTTCCTCTTTAGTCTTTATCTGTAAACCATCTTTGTTCTCAATCAGCCACAAATCTCTTCCAGTACGATGAAAACGCTTCAGTGTTCAATATCTCGTTTTCATAGCTTGTCATGCGGCTCTACACACTGATGGTTTCATCAGCAGATTCTTTCCTCCCATGTTGCTGGAATCCTGATGAATAATGTGGAACATCCTTCTGAAGTAGATTTACTTTGACTGAGCTAAAGTGATCAAGCAGCTCTCTGAAAGTAATTATAGTGATTCAAAGACACACAAAACCATCCATACATTTAATAGCACAACAAAATTTATCTTTATGACACTTTAATCCAATTTGCATAATAATTTGGAACACGGTGTATGTGCTGCTAAATGTGCTAATGGTGGAGAAAGAAACTTACCATGACAGGAAAAGTGTTTATTCACCGTCATTGTGGCTGTGCTCGCTGCAGCACAGCGGAGAGCAAAAGGGAAGGGAAAACTGAGATGAGCAGCGCCACACAAGTTTGTGATAGACAGCTCCCTGCTGATTGGTTGTTTCTAGTCACCAGTGGGGGAAGACAGGAGCTTGTTTTTTTCTTAGATTATCTCATAGCAAACTTATGGTATATAGTGACAGTTTCAACAAAATATGTAAAAAATATATTTTTACAAAAGTTAAATTCTGTAGCTTTGAGTGCAAGCTGACCTGACCTTTAGCCCGCCTCCGTGGCTAGGCCAGCAGGGAAAGTCCCGGAGTTCCCGATGGCCAGTCTGGCACTCAGAGTAACCGGTTCTCTTCTCTTTGCTGTTCCAAAGGTCCGGAACGGCTCGGACTCTGGAGGAAACCCCGAAAAGCCCAAGAAGCATTCCCGAGGAGGCGTCTGCAGCACGCTCTGGAGGACCAGATCTACCGGATCTTCCGTAAAAGCCGCGTCTCACCAACCAAAGCAGCAACTGTCTGTTCACGGTGCCCGCCAACCAGGCCTTCGTCTATGTGATCCCGGCAGCAGATCAGGACCCCGTGGGCGCTTTGCTCGGCCAGCTGCGGTCCAACTGCGTCTTGTCGGATCAGGACTCCGCCCCGGTCCTCACTGGGCCGAGGAGGTACCAGCAAAAGTAGGTCAGCTCGGCAGCCCGGCAGCAGGGAGTCTGGCGGTCCGATGGGAAGCCAGCTGGTGGACTGCAGCCTGAAGGAATTCCTCTGGCAGCACGTCGAGCTGGTTCTGACCAAGAAGGGCTTCGACGACAGCGTCGGCCGCAACCCCCAACCTTCCCACTTTGAGCTGCCGACCTTCACCAAGTGGGTCCAGTTGGCTTCCCGCCTCTACCAGGTCCTGATCATCAACACTGACGAGGAGCTGGCCGAGCTAGCCACTAAGGTGCAAAGCCAGGTGAAGGTCTTGGATGGTTTCCTGGATGCCGACACAAAGTTCTCAGAAAACCGGTGTCAGAAAGCTCTGCCTCTGGCCCACAGCGCCTACCAGTCCAACCTCCCTCACAACTACACCACCACGGTCCACAAGAACCAGCTGGCACAGGCGTTGCGGGTGTACAGCCAGCACGCGAGGGGCGTGGCCTTCCAACGCTATGCGGTGCAGCTTCATGAAGACTGCTACAAGTTCTGGAGCAACGGCCACCAGCTGTGCGAGGAGCGCAGCCTGACAGACCAACACTGCGTGCACAAGTTCCACCTGCTGCCTCAGCCAGGTCAGACGCTCCGCCGGACAGCTAGCGGACAGCTAGCGGACAGCTAGCGGCTCCTGGTGCCACTGTTGATGAAGACAGTTGAAGTGAACATTATTAGTTGATCAATTGTATTAATTTTGATCTAATGGTTGACAATTAACCATAATTCTATCAGCAGTTTTCCTCCCAAATTAATGTCATTTCTGCAGGTGAGAAGCCAGACCTGGACCACAACCCGCCCATCATGAACCACAACAGCAGGGGGCGCTCCACCAGTGCCTGTAACTGCGGCAGGAAGCAGGCGCCTCGAGACGATCCGTTTGACATCCAGGCTGCCAACCACGACTTCTACCAGGTCAGGATCTATGCTGCAGACCAGTTCAATCTATTTCTAGATATCTACACTGCAGACCAGTTCAATCTATTTCTAGATATCTACGCTGCAGACCAGTTCAATCTATTTCTAGATATCTACGCTGCAGACCAGTTCAATCTATTTCTAGATATCTACGCTGCAGACCAGTTCAATCTATTTCTAGATATCTACGCTGCAGACCAGTTCAATCTATTTCTAGATATCTACGCTGCAGACCAGTTCAATCTATTTCTAGATATCTACGCTGCAGACCAGTTCAATCTATTTCTAGATATCTACGCTGCAGACCAGTTCAATCTATTTCTAGATATCTACGCTGCAGACCAGTTCAATCTATTTCTAGATATCTACGCTGCAGACCAGTTCAATCTATTTCTAGATATCTACGCTGCAGACCAGTTCAATCTATTTCTAGATATCTACGCTGCAGACCAGTTCAATCTATTTCTAGATATCTACGCTGCAGACCAGTTCAATCTATTTCTAGATATCTACGCTGCAGACCAGTTCAATCTATTTCTAGATATCTACGCTGCAGACCAGTTCAATCTATTTCTAGATATCTACGCTGCAGACCAGTTCAATCTATTTCTAGATATCTACGCTGCAGACCAGTTCAATCTATTTCTAGATATCTACGCTGCAGACCAGTTCAATCTATTTCTAGATATCTACGCTGCAGACCAGTTCAATCTATTTCTAGATATCTACGCTGCAGACCAGTTCAATCTATTTCTAGATATCTACGCTGCAGACCAGTTCAATCTATTTCTAGATATCTACGCTGCAGACCAGTTCAATCTATTTCTAGATATCTACGCTGCAGACCAGTTCAATCTATTTCTAGATATCTACGCTGCAGACCAGTTCAATCTATTTCTAGATATCTACGCTGCAGACCAGTTCAATCTATTTCTAGATATCTACGCTGCAGACCAGTTCAATCTATTTCTAGATATCTACGCTGCAGACCAGTTCAATCTATTTCTAGATATCTACGCTGCAGACCAGTTCAATCTATTTCTAGATATCTACGCTGCAGACCAGTTCAATCTATTTCTAGATATCTACGCTGCAGACCAGTTCAATCTATTTCTAGATATCTACGCTGCAGACCAGTTCAATCTATTTCTAGATATCTACGCTGCAGACCAGTTCAATCTATTTCTAGATATCTACGCTGCAGACCAGTTCAATCTATTTCTAGATATCTACGCTGCAGACCAGTTCAATCTATTTCTAGATATCTACGCTGCAGACCAGTTCAATCTATTTCTAGATATCTACGCTGCAGACCAGTTCAATCTATTTCTAGATATCTACGCTGCAGACCAGTTCAATCTATTTCTAGATATCTACGCTGCAGACCAGTTCAATCTATTTCTAGATATCTACGCTGCAGACCAGTTCAATCTATTTCTAGATATCTACGCTGCAGTCCAACTTCTTACAGACCGGACAGGAAGTGGAGTCTGTTTCCTGTTTGGAGAAAATGTCTTTGTTCTCTGAGATTGAACTTGACTGAACTGAAATCATAGAAATAAAATAATTGTATTTTGAACAATTCATATTTATGGAAATATTTTCCTGCTTTGATGAGTAATAACGGAAAAGGTTTTCCAGTTGTTTTACAAATCCATCTTTTTTTTCTTCCTTTCTTCCACCAATTAACTCTCTGTGATATTTTAACAATAAGGTATTTTTCTTATTATTGTCAAACCCTATTGGACCGGTATCAGCCCGTCAAATCATTCAGCTGATTCAGTATTTTCCCGTTGGCTCGTTTTGTTTCCACCTGGAGGAGGAAAGCATGTTAAAGTTGGTCTCTTCTGTCGTGCTCAGATCCTGGAGGAGAAATGTTGCGGGAAGCTGGAGCGGATCGGCTTCCCGGTCTTCCAACCCAGCACTCCGGACCCGGCGCCAGCCTCAGACCGGGCGCAGCATCCGCCGTCAGAGACGTCGGGCGACGGGGAGCAGCCGAAGGAGGCGAGCGCGGCTCACAGCCACACGCCCGGCGACGCCAGCCTCAGCCTGGCGCTCAGCCTGGGCCAGTCCACCGACAGCCTGGGGGCGTACGCGGACGCAGATCCGTCCGACGGCCCGGTCCAGCCCAAGAGGCCAAGCCTCGTGGACCGCCAGCCGTCCACCGTGGAGTACCTGCCAGGTAGGACGGTTGAGTCGCTTAGGGAACAGTGGCAAGTTTTTTTTACTGAGGTGAAAAAATGAATATCATAAAATAAAATGATGACGTAATTTCACTGACCACCGCCTGTCGGCCTTCGCTTTGTGTCCTTCTGCGAGTTTCTGTTCATCCCATAAAGTCAAGAGAACTGCCGCCGCCGCTGTGTGTTCACATTGCTATTGAGGCATGTAAATGTTTTTCTCCGTCTCCAGGAATGACACACTCCGCCTGTCCCAAAGGTCTCCTCCCAAAGTTCTCCAGCTGGTCTCTACTCAAACTGGGACCAGCAAAGTCCTACAACTGCCACACTGGTCTGGAGCAGCCGGGCTTCCTGCCGGGCTCCTCTTTCCTGCTGCCGTGGGACTTGGTGATCCGCTCCCGCTCGGAGGAGGACGCTGGCCCCGCGGAGCCTCTAGACGGAGGGACGGCGTCCTGGCCGGCGCCCAACAAGAACCCGGTGGGGAAGCGCGGCGGCGCCGGGCCGGGCCGGAGCCGCCGGAGGGATGACGCGGCGCGGGCCTTCGTGGGGTTCGAGTACGAAGACGGCCGGGGCCGCCGCTTCATCAGCAGCGGACCCGACAAAATCGTAAAGGCGCTGGGGCCGGGCGGCGCCAAGGATCCAGCCAGCAGGGTCCTGAACGCCGACATGCCGCTCTACGTCCGTCGCCCGCTCAGGGCCGCGGCCTGAAGCCGCACTACGCTCAGCTGACTCGGCTTTTCGTGGTGGTGCCTGACGCGCCGCTGGAGATCACCTGAACCCCCAGGTAAACTACAGCAAGCCAGGAGGGCCACGGACACTCATGATGAAGCAAATATTGAAACAGTTGTCTTTACCTGCTGATTATTCAAATGATCAAACTTTCATTAAAAGAATGTTTATTTTCTTATTTAATTCGTTATTTATTTATTTGCATCTGACTTATTCTAACAAGATCCAGAAAGCTGTCAGCTCTTCAACCCTCAGCCTCAGACCAACCTCTGTCTCATGATCTGATGGTTCAATCTGAACTGAATTGTGATGGTTTTAGTTCTTCTGCTGCTTTGCTCTCAGTGTTTTCTGTCTGCAGGTGCAGCCCGGCCCCCTCCCTGCCCAATCTTCCACCCTGAGCAGACGGAAGTGACGCTGCCCAACGACGGCTTCTGGGTTCTGCGCTTTCCGTATTCCTACGCCACCGAGCGCGGTCCCTGCTTCCCCCCGAAGGAGAACCAGCCTCTGAGTAACTACAAGGTGCTGCGAGGCGTCCTGCGGGCCAGCACAGCCAACCCGCCGCAGTGACCCTCAGTGACCCTCAGTGACCCTCAGTGACCCTCAGTGACCCTCAGTGACCCTCAGTGACCCTCAGTGACCCGCGGCACTGTCGGCACGGCCAACCAGGTGCCAGAATCCAGTCTGGGTCTTTAAAGATGCACACAGGAGTTTATGGTTCATTTCTGAAGAATGGAAGCATCATCATTTAAACATGCTAATGCGCGCTATCATGACCAAATGGCTTTTAGTGCATCTCCTTATGCTGCAGTGATTTCTGAAGCAAAGTTGACGAGCTCCAAAAATCTAAATTTCATTGTTGAGATTTTTGACTGTTTTTAAGTTGTTGAAGGAAAAAAGATTTATTACATTTAATATTTTTTTCTAACTTTAACAATTAAGTTTCTGGAGAATTTGAAAATGGGGAATGTACTTTCCCATTTCATTAAAAATAATAGTAGCCAGTAGGGGGTGCTGTGCATGTTTTTTGTTCAATCTGATTCCTGTTGGCTGCATAAGAAATAAATGAAACATGTGTATCATGCAGTCTCATCAGTTACAAATGTTTAGTTTGGTCTCTGATTTAACACTGGAGTGCATTATGTTCTCGTTTCTGTGAATAAATAACCTTTAATTATCAGAGTGATTATTTTCATGGTTTCTGAAATCCTTCATTTTGATGTTCTCATTCCTTAAATTGCACATTTTGTCCACTAGATGGCTCCACTTTGTTTTTAACGCTGTCCAACGTTTCAAATGACAAGCAGTTGCTGCGGAAACCAAGCAGATTGATTTCTTCCAGATGAGCGAAAAACAGCAATAGTGAAAAATATCGACAAAAACAATCAACTTGTTGATGGTAGCAGCTTGAAGACTGATGGGGAGAATTGCATCCCTGGTGAAAATGAATATACTAAGAATGTTTTTTAGAACACTAGAGTAAACTTTAAGTCAGACTAATTATCAGTATACTACACTTAGTATTACTTAAACTGTGACATTTTGGAACAACTAATTTTGTGCTTAGTGTATTTTAATAGTATTTAAATTGTATTAAAGCACAGTTTAAAGTACTTTCTCGTACTGTTTTCGAACAACTTAAGCTACACTTGGTAAACTAAGTATTTTTGCTTTTTATGCAATATGAATGTGCTTGATTAGTTTATTCTGACTATACTATTTTTGTGATTGAATTACATTTAAAATATATTTAGAATGTATTTTCAGTATATTGGCATTACATATTTTATATACACTGCTCCAAAAAATAAAGGGAACACTCAAATAAAACATCCTAGATCTGAATGAATGAAATAAATATGAAAATAATTTCCACCTGTTGTCTATTCCATTTGCACAACAGCAGGTGATATTGATTATCAATCAGTGTTGCTTTCTAAGTGGACAGTTTGATTTCACACAAGTTTGATTTACTTGGAGTTATATTGTGTTGTTTGAGTGTTCCCTGTATTTTTTGAGCAGTATATTTTACTGCCATAGTTTTAGTTTACATGTTTTATTTTGTATTATTTATACTTTTTGTTACGACTCTTATTTTGGAAGATTAAGGTAGGAAGTGGAATCCAGCATGTTGCTAGGTTACCACAGACGCTGCGATATAACAGCGTCGCTTTGACAAGTAAATGCAGAAAGATGATTTAAGTTTAAGAACTGATTTAATCACCTCATTTCTACCTCAAAAGGAAGGTCAGCCAGTTAAAATATGTTTATTTTTTATGTCGATTGTATTCTTGACACCATCTCACTAAGTTTACGTTGAGTTTTAGTTGAACGGTGGTGTTGGTGTCAGGAACCTGAAGCTGGAATAAGAACAACTTCACAGCAGCAGTGAAAAAAACTTAACTGCCAAGAAGAAGAGGTGGAAGTGATAATATGTTAGTGTGATTACAGTAGGCTGCAGTTACACTTCTGGTTCATTATAATTGATGATGAATTAACTTTTTAGTTACTTAATGTCTTTAATTTTTCTGCTTTGCCACTTTGTACATTAATGCTTCATATTCAATGCAAACACATCAGGTACCAGAACACAGAAAATCCATTAACTTTACAGGTCAAACTAATGACATTGTGTCTTCAATATGTTACCATTTTGATGGGGTTTGCATAGGACTGACATGACATCTGTCATGAATATGAAGAAGTCTTTATGTTGTTCTAACTGTTGTCATGAAGTACAATTTTGTAAATAGACACTTTTAATGTAAAGTTGCTTTAAAAATGCCAACTTTGCATTAAAGTGTCATTATTCACAAAATAATCCAAAGTTGGCACTTTTAATCAAACTTTTAAAGCAACTTCTCATTAAAAGTGTGATTATTTACTGAATGAAAATTCATGACACAGTTTGTTCCTAACAGATGTTATGTTTATGATAGTATCACGTCAGTCTTATTCACAACCCATCAAATAAAGTCTCACCCAAATTTTCAGGAGTACGCTGCCAATAAACCATCACAGAAATGTACAAATCGTCAATTCAATTAAAAGTTTACAGTCAACATGCTTATGAAAACTAGCACAATAAAACAACAGTTACCCTAGCAACCAAAATCAACAGAAGCAAGACTGTGACAAAAGACGAACCACATCCGGTTAAGCAGTCTTCAAAATAAAAGACTTCCGCTATCCAAAGAAATCATGCCTCCCACTTAAATGTTTCACTTCGGCGTTTGTAATTATATACAGTCGTGTTAAATTCAAATAATATTAATCATCATGCAAATTATACTTAACAACAAACATGTGTAAAGAAGCCACAACATCCATGTCTTTCTCATTTCCTATCTCCATTTCCATCCGAACTATTCACGTACCCGTTTATGCCCAAATCCGACATGTTTCCATGTGTTTTGTTGTTTTTTTCCCGCTTCGCTGCGGCCTTCCAAGCAGTCGGAGGCGCAGCGGCTTCTTGTGACTCGGACTGTTTGGACCAGATACAGACGCCCAGCAGCTGCAGCTCCGTGTTGCCACAACAGAAGGTGATAGTTAGCGGCAGCTTGGGCCTGCTTTGTCCTTCAGCTAACCACCGGAAGCTGACCACCGGAAGCTAACAACCAGAAGCTACCCACGGAAGCTGACCACCGGAAGCTAACCACCGGAAGCTAACCAATTGGAAGCTAACAAGTAGCTAACCAATTGGAAGCTAACAAGTAGCTAACCATTGGAAGCTAACAAGTAGCTAACCAATTGGAAGCTGAAACATGGTTTCTCTGATCAGATCACTGCAGTCTGGTTTTAATATCAGTTTCAGTTCTGTAGATCGGTTCCTGTGTAAGAAATGTACAGACACAACTCGACTTTTGAATATCTGAGGGCATTATTTTTCTTGTGTTAAAACAGTTTGAATCATATTTGAGAAACACAATGGTTCCATTTGTCTTGGTATTTACATAACAGACATTATTGACGTCGTCACAAAGGGCTGAAGTCATCAAGTCTGTCTCAGTAAATCTACGTCTGTCTCCTGGGAAATATTAATGTCCCAGAAATTAACTTTCCAACACACAGCATATCACACTGATTTTAGTGTTATGGCACATTTTAAAGTCACTTGGCTCTAGAAATCACTTCATTTATAAAAATGTTATTCTTACTCATGTAAATATAACATTACACAACAGAATTTCAATTCAGAAAACTTAAGAGATTTGTTAATTGTGTTCAGGGAACAGGCTAACTCCAGTTAGCAATACAAGCTAATCAGAACATATTTGTCTCCATTTTGTCTGTTCAAATACAAAAACAATGTGTCCACAGATAAATGCTGTACATTGTTTTGTTTTTTGTTGAGTTAGAATCAATCAGAAAAGTGCTTATTTATTATTTCTCCATCTTTCTGTTTGTTTTACTTGAACAGCAGCCATTGAATTTGAATTCAGAGAAATTCTGACAATCGAATACAAGTTGAACTCAGCCTAAGGGGGCCCAAAGTGGGCGCTGGAGGGCCGGCATCCTGCATGTTTTAGTTCTCTCGCTGGTGGTAGTATCAACCATTTCAGCAGGTCAGTGTCCTTCTGAGGCCTCTAATGAGCCATCATTTGATCCAGGTTTGTTAAACCAGGGAGAGAACTAAAACACGCAGGATGCCGGCCCTCCAGGACCCACTTTGGGCCCCCTGGCCTAAGCCTACCCATGATCACACTTGTTTGCACCATGTAGAGACTTTTTATTTGATGCTATCATAAAATAAATCACCTGGTTTTCAGCAAACAGCCATACAGGTCAGAAAAAAATATTAAATGATAGAATTTACAGTTTGAAAAAGATATATTGCATTCAGATTAGTAAAGAAACAAAGGACAGTTTGCTAGAAGATTTGGATTGACAAGAAGCCAAATCATGTCATTTTTAGGTTATAAAACAGTATTGATGTGATAACTACAGTTCATATCCTCCGTTTTGTATAAGTTCCCTTTTTTATTGATTTACTAACTGTAAGCTGTTTTATACACATCGACTCAAATGATGGGGTATCAGTTTCATATCTGAAAACTTTGTTTCCCTTTGTTATGCTTCTACTTATTTGCTCTAAGATTGAAACCTCTGATCAAAACAACTCCAGGAGTAAGTAACTGATTTTGTCTTTTCTGACATAAGACTATGACTAGGACATAGAAAGTTCATTGAAATAATCTGTAGGTTCAAAACTTCTCCCTGGTTGGTTCTAATGGTCAAACATCTCCAGGTACCATGTCGAGTGTGAAATGATCAAAATCACATGAACTGCTGAAAGGGCAAAACCACCAGCAGCAAATAGCCGGCATCAACAATGAGCTCCATTTGACATGTAAGATCACAGGACCCACAATTTTCTCTCAGTCTTGCTTCAGTTATATCTTTCCTGTGCTGCCGCCAGGGAAGGCGGGGTCGTTGCTCACTTGTATTTTTGTCAAATAGTTGAAATCAACAACGTAGCGGCAGTTGGAGGAGCTGAAGAGCACCGGCGTGAACTCGTAGCCCCACAGGATCTCCTGAGGGATGTACGAGGTGCGGCTCTGGCACGTGGCCGCCGTCGACTCCATGGTGCCGTTGAGCGTTATGAGCAGCTCAAAGTTTCGGTTGCTCAGGGTTTCTGGGTCAGTCCTGCCAATGGGCTCTTCTCGTCAATAATGTGATAAAAGGTCAGCGGGAGGATCAGGAACGGACAGTCTCCACTGGTGTCCATGTAGAAATCTACAGAGCTCTGGTGGATCTGCGTCTTCTCTCCTTCTTCTGTCACATTGGACTTAAACAGCTTTCCCGTGAGCTGGCACTGGATCAGCAGACTCTTCCTCATGTTGGCCACTCTCACCATCAGACACAGCTTGCCTTGGTGCCTGCAGATCACCGCCACCTGGCTGAACTTTATCGTTTCTGCTCGCTTCTTGGGTCGGGCCAGTTTGGCCAGAAAGGCACCGGTGACAAAGATCTCAGCCAGACCAGTGATGACGAGTTGAGCCACCAGCGTGAAGATCGCCAGAGGACACTCTTCAGAGATATACCGGAAACCGTAACCTATGGTGGTCTGCGACTCCAGAGAGAACAGGAAGGCTCCGGTGAGAGTACTCACATGCATCACGCAGGGGGTGGGTAGAATTGGGCAGAGTGTCAAAATCTCCGTTCCCCATGCCGATGAAGAAATAGAAGACTCCAAAGATGAACCAGGTCGCGACGAAGGTGGAGGCAAACAGAGTGAGTTTGTAGCGCCACTTCATGTCCACCACCGTCGTCCAGATGTCGTGCAGGTAGAGCTTGACCATTCCTTCCACGTTGTCGATCTGAACATTGTTGTGACCGTCTTTGGACACGATCCTTCGCTGAACCTCTGACTTCCTGTTGACCATGATGCTTTGCTTCAACAAGTACTGGCTGTAACTGAAGAGGTTTTATTGGCACATTCCAGATTAAAGAGCTGGCAACAGACACAAACAGAAATACGATTAATATTCTCATAAAGCTGTTTTTCTGTGATTGCCAAAGTCTTCAGTCAATCATTTCTGTATCTTTTGCTTCCAGAGATCCAGATTCTCTTCTAATCTTTGAAAGTCTTCTTTAAATGAATGGTGACTTTTTGCAGGTACTGAAAGATTTTCTGTCTCCAGGCTATGGACTGTTCAGTGAGTGCTGAGCTAAATCAGTTTTCAAGGCAAACCCTCAGGAAACCTTGACAATTATTGACTAGGACCAGATCAGAATGCATGAAAGATATTTGGAGTGATTTTTAAATGTTTGTATTGTGATGTACGGGATTAAAGAACAATCCAACAACTAAAGAAAGTGAAGTCACCAAACTATGTACAGCTGTTTAATCCACAGGGTTTAATGGTAGAAAACATCCGTCCATCACTGAGCCTGACTTAAGTTAGCCTAACATGAGCACTGTTAGCCTGAAGCTAAGCTAATGCAGTCAGAAAGGCCCTGGATGGGATTCAGAAACTCTTCCATGCACTTATGTACCAAGTAAAAAACGACTTTACACTAAAATATTAAGCAGCTTGTCGCCTTGAATAGTTTTCATCTGAGGTCCACAGAGTTAAAAATTAACAAACGACATTAGAGACCAATAAGTGAGTTATTGGTGAGTCATAAACAGAATTGGTTCACTGAAGGTCAGTCAGAAAATACATAAAACTGCTGCAGATTAAATAAACGCTGCATGTTTCATCAGAGTGCCACAGTCAAAACAAACCCAGATCATTATTCCTCCACCATCGTGCTTGAAACATAAATTGTGCTTTCTTTCATTTTCTAAATTAAGTTGGATTTATCTTAAAGTAAACTTAAGTTACGCAGCAGAACAATCATTAAAAGCACAATCCAACTAAAAATACAACAGAATGAAGGTTATGGAGTTTCCTAGTCAAAGTAATGAGTTATGATGGAGATGTTGTGGCTTAAAGACCTGCGCTGTCACGGAAAAGCAATTCTGCAAATGAACGATTCAAAATTTCTCCTCAGTGACGTTACAGACTCTGACTGCTCCGTTATTTTCTCACTTGGTTTGGAAGATTTTCACTGTAGAAACACAAAATATTAACAAACATTTTTGGTCTAGTTCAAGTTCAATTGAAATGAGACTGAAGTAACTCATGACTAACAGGAAGGAACTTGTTTTACCAGTAATTCTTAATATTGATCAAAAGTTCTAATTAAACTGGTAAATAATTTATTAATAACATGACATTTTTCCCAGGTTTTAAGTGAAATAATCTGCCAGTGGAACTGGAACCTTTTCCATTAAAATTAAGACATGACTGATTTAAATAAGCTCCCTTCTCTTCCTGTAAGTTTGTTTTGTCTTATTTCAAGTGAACAAAGATATTTGCACTCAAAACTAGAGAAAAATACTTGGTAAGATTTTGTGTTTTTGCAGTGTTCTCCTCAATAATTGAAGCCATAATTTGAAAACAATATTTTTTGTCTTTTTTCCACTTTATGTTTGTCTGATATCAAATTTTGTTTGATGGCCTGAAAGACAGAAGTACTTTTTAGTACTTCTATATAAATACCAATTCTTTATCTTGTTCCAAGTTTGTCAGTGTCACCAAACTGAATATTATTCCACAGAATTATTAGAAGTAAATGAGTTATCACATGGAAACGTTTAAACACATTCCTCAGGAGTAGATAAAGTATTAACCATGAAGCATTATTAATGAATTGATAATCATTCATTTCCTCATCAGTCCGTTTACTCACCTCTGAAAAGCTCGTCCTCAGAAATGTGAAACTGAGCCTGAAGTTCAGTGTCTTCTTTCTCTGTTTGTTGTGAGATCTCAACTTTGGCACAATGAGGAACGGAGCGAGACAAAGCCGAGCGTAATCTGTGATCGGGGGCCGGCTTTGTTTCCCTCCCCTCCCCTGTCCACAGGTAGCAGCAACAAGGTGAGCGCCTGACGTTTGTTTCCTTCTTTTACGGTTGTTGTTGCTTCATACAAGCCCAGATTTCCGGCTTTCAGAGCGTCTGAAGGACACGATGAACTTTGTGACAGACAAAAGGTCAAACTACTGGAGGAACGCATGACGTGAATTATCTGATAAATTCTCTAAATTTCTATAAGTACGAACTCAAATTCATTTTGACACCTGGAGATGGTAGTTGGTCATTTATTTAATCAGGACTGGTATTAGTAAATCAAATATATTTGTTGTTGATGTGTTATCTTGGACGCCTCAGTAAAAGTTTAAACTTGTGGTAAAAAGTAAATTTGATCAGATTTAGAGCATCGATTTGTTTCTTTCTAACCTGGTGTAACTTTAGCAAACGGGGGAAATTTTCACTAAGAAAATCAGAAAATGTGGTTTATGTGTGTATCCAACCCCCGTTACTCTGATACCCTGAAAATACGATTCAGTCGACCTGCATAAACCTGATCAGGGCTGAAACTGACCGTTAATTTCTTAAATAATAACACCATTGATTATTCAGGCGACAATTTACATAAAAGATTTGACATTCACTTTTTATACACTTTCAGTCTTTTTCAAACAATATTAGAAATACATGAAAAGATGTGAATAAACAAATAATTTAATTATTTTTTTAAATAACAAAATGAAAATGTTATTATCAAAGAATGAAATTAAAATTTTTTTGTGTACGCTTGATTGTTGTAGATTAATTGTTCATTTTTTTTCATTAACTGATTAATAATTGAGAGCAAAAGGTGATTCATTAGAGGTTTCTAATGAGTTCTGGTAAAATGTGCTTGCAGACAAATGTCTTTATCTTAAAAAGACAGTTTTGATTTAATTACGGTTCTGACTGTTATTCTTCAGCAGGTGGCCTTTTTGAGTTTATACTCCAGTTGAAGGTTAATTGATTACTAAATTAGTTGATGATATTTTTTAATAATCGATGAATAATGTCATGCTTGAGCCTGATCAATTAAAATGACCCTCGGTGTTCATCCAGTTTGGTCTCCAAAGGAAGGAAATTGTAGATAAATGTGTCAAATGACCTAAAAAACACCAAAGTTTGTTGCAACGAGACGAGATGGAAAACGGTCAGCTGAAGGTTTTCTGAGCATGAAATATTTGGAAAAAGAGTTTTTTTCTTTTTGCAACAAAGTGAATGATTACTGGAAACAAGCAGCAGCAGGGCTGAATGACAAAATGCCTATGGTCTAAACAAAGTCCAATGCGGGATTCTTTTGGTGGAGAAATGGACGGTTCACTGATTAAACAAACACTTTAATTAAGTGTTAAAAAGTGAAGCTACAAACAAATGTGCAGCAAAGCTTTGGTGTAAAAATGAAGGATTCTGTTTTCCCAGCAGAAACAGTAGCAGTAAAGTTTGTTTAAGAGAATTAAACATGTTTCAGGGCAGAGGAAGTGACGTTTACTGGGTGACCGCCCTTGGATCCTCAGCTTTATCATTAACTTCATTTCGTCACTTATCCTTTCTCATCCTGATGCATTTGTCTGCAAATGTTGATGTTGACAAGAACTTTATGATTCAGTTTAACGTGTTTATTTCAGGTGAAACCCAACACTTTATTTCAACAGAAACATGTTAAAATATTACAAATAATTAAAATTGAATTGAATAAAATAACAGCATGTCATAAAAGAATTGTAAACATCTGCTGGAGCCGCTATTATTTATCTGCAGGAATATTTGATGAACTAACGTTAATGTTTCTCTGACATGTTTAAAAAAAACCAAAGACAATGTTTAAAACAAACAAAAACGCTATTTCAAACTTATTTTAAAGTCATTATTTTAACAATAGTTTGTGTTAGTTTCAACCCATTATTACTTATGCTTTTATTTTGAAATTTTGACCAGAGTCGTTCAAATCGGCGAATGTCGCACTCTTATTTTGAAAGATTTACCCGGATACTGAGTTGTTTCTGTTCCTGTGGATTTGTCATTCAGAAGCAAAGCAAATAAATGTAAATCTTGTAAAAGCAGCTTATGACGCCAGCCGCCATTTCGCGGCCTGCGGCTCGGAGATGAGCGTCAGTCTGGATATCAAACTGAAAAGAGCCAACAAAGTCTATCATGAGGGGGTAAGAGACCCGAACCCGCCCCGCTAACGTTAGCCTTCCTCTGTTTGCTCTACAAAACCATTGATAAGCTATGTGGACTAGCTAGCATAGACAGTTAGCTTGCTAATTCGCAACAAGCTAATTCGCAGTCACGTGACCAGCAGCTGCTTCCATGGTGTGACGAATTTGGTCACCAAATTAAATTCTGTGCTCGATTATTATTTCTTTGCGTGATAATAAATAATCAATATAATTTAAAATCTTCAAGACAACATGAATAAAAATATAATTTTATGCTTTCGTTTTGTTTTGAGCGCCATAGAAACCTGATGTGGGTAGCTTAGCTTAACCTCAGCGGGTTAGGTAGAGCTTGGTGTGAACTTATCTGTTCAAAATGTTTCTTAAAACTAAACTTTTATCTAAATAAATGATGGTAATCGATAAAAGTGATACGAACAATTTATTATTTCTTTATGTAGCTATATGGCAGCAGCTCACAAAACAAGTCCTGCTTTTAAAAAACGTTTCCGTTTTGAATCTTTCAGACGCCAGTCATAAAAAATGTGATCTCTGTCATTAATCTGTTTTCAAATTTATTGGTATTCATTGATCATCTATTGAACAAAAAGTGGAGCAAATGGCAAAACTATCAATTCCAACTACCCTGATACTTGTTGACATTTTAACAACTATCACTTTTAGATTTTAAACATTGAAATTATTTTGAGAACAATAAATCTAAATCTTTATCATAAGAATTTTATTGCAATAAATTAAATTTTTTTATAGTTTTGCATTCATTTCTGTAAATGGCTTTTATTGAGTCTCGTCTCCAGTTGATTAATCAATTACTGAATTAGTTATTCTAATAATCGATTAATAATAATCCTGATTCTACAGCAGCAGCTGATTCCGGTCTGTTTCAGGAAACTGTGGCTGGTGTCGTCACGTTGTGCTGCAAGGAGCCGCTGCAGCACAACGGCATCGCGCTCAGCATGGACGGCATCGTCAACCTGCAGCTCAGCTCCAAGAGCGTCGGCGTCTTTGAGGCGTTTTACAACTCGGTCAAGGTGGGATCCGCCGACCGGACCGGACTCTGGAGCACTCTGCTCCTCTGGAGTTCAAAAAGTCTGAGAGACTGAGAAGCTTTAAAGATGAAAGGCTGTAGATAAGAATTATTGTAACTATTGTTAATCATGATGATTAATTGATTAGTCGGATAGAAAAACGAGGCACATCTGCTGATGTTCCTTTGAATAATCTGGTGAAGCTAAAACCAACCTGAAGCTTTTGGTTGAATGTTTTTACGGAAAGAGTTTTTCTCATCTTAAGTGCAAAATGTTTTTTAGTTTTTGTTCTTTCAGCAAATGGCCTTTTTATTCTCCAGTTAACAAAATCAGTTGCCGATTATTTCGAAAATCGATCAATCTCATTGGTAGCTTGATAAATGAAGCATTCATTCAGATCTAATTCAGATCTAAACTTAGAAAATAATTTCTGTCTGCCGGTTAATCTGCAGCCAATCCCGCTGATCAGCAGCAGCATCGAGGTGGCCAAGGCCGGGAAAATCCCAGGAGGGAAAACGGAAATCCCGTTTGAGTTTCCGCTCGTCAGCAAAGGCAACAAAGTTCTGTACGAGACTTACCACGGCGTCTTCGTCAACATCCAGGTTGGGCTCCACGTTAGCCTGTCTGCTAACGATCTCCAATTGATCGCTAACCAGAGTCTGAAACAGATTCAGGCTCAGCAGTTTGTGTTCCAACTTTCTGACGTTTGCCTCTTTGCTGCTCAGTACACGCTGCGCTGCGACCTGAAGCGCCCCCTGCTGGCCAAAGACCTGAGCAGGAGCTGCGAGTTCATCGTTCACAGTCAGGTGATCGTCAGCAAAGCTTCGATTAGACGCTCATTATCTTATTGATTATTACATTTTGATTGGTTTTTTATTTCAGCCTCAGAAATCAAAAATCATTCCGACTCCAGTCAAGTTCAGCATCACTCCAGAGACGCTGCAGAATGTCCGCGAGGTGCGACCTTTGACCTGCTGCTATCACATTACAGCCAGCCGATCGATCAATCTGTTGATTAATCTTTTATTCCTTTACTGAAGGTTTCATCATTTGCAGCTAAAATGCTAAAATCATCACCATCAGAAAAGCTGAATGTCGATGCAGAGCTGATCTGGGATTAATTATTGACGAACTGATTAATAATTTGATAGAATTCATTGGAGATTTTTAGGGAATTTGAACTTGTGTGTAAAAAAAGGGAAGCTAGGGTCAGCGGTTCTGGAAACGTCTGCAGGCCCGTTTCACCGATCGTTTGTGTCGGCAGAGGAGTCAGCTGCCGCGCTTCCTGATCCGAGGACATCTGGACGCCACCAGCTGCGTCATCAGCCAACCGCTCACCGGGGAGGTGCAGGTGGACAAATCCGACGTCCCCGTCAAGAGCATCGAGCTACAGCTGGTCCGGGTGGAGACCTGCGGTGAGTTACCCTCTCCCTGAACGCCCGCCTGGCGTCGGCGCCCCCTGGAGGTTTCCTGTTTTACCTACAGGCTGCGCCGAGGGCTACGCGCGAGACGCCACGGAGATCCAGAACATCCAGATCGCAGAAGGAGACGTCGGCCACGGCCTGCCCATCCCCGTCCACATGGTGTTCCCCCGACTCTTCACCTGCCCACCCTGGAGACCACCAACTTCAAAGTAGGTCAGTACAACCGGCCAATCAGAGCAGCCGGCCATTCAGAGCAACCGGCCAATCAGAGCAGCCAGCCAATCAGAGCAGCTGGCTATTCAAAGCAGCCGGCCAATCAGAACAACCGCCAATCAGAGCAGCCGGCCAATCAGAGCAACCGGCCATTCAGAGCAACGGCCAATCAGAGCAACCAGCCAATCAGAGCAACCGGCCAATCAGAGCAGCCGGCTATTCAAGCAGCCGGCCAATCAGAGCAGCGGCCATTCAGAGCAGGCCAATCAGAGCAACCAGCCAATCAGAGCAACCGGCCAATCAGAGCAGCCGGCTATTCAAAGCAGCCGGCCAATCAGAGCAGCCGGCCAATCAGAGCAGCTGCTATTCAGCAGCCGGCTATTCAAAGCAGCCGGCCAATCAGAGCAGCCGGCCAATCAGAGCAGCTGGCTATTCAGAGCAGCCGGCCAATCAGAGCAACCGGCCAATCAGAGCGCTCCCCCTTCACTTTTCAGCTGCATCTGGTGATTCTTTTGCATCATTGATTGATCGATCAGTTAAAGAGGAGAAACGCTTCAGCCTTTCTGCTGGACTGAAGATTATTATTAACAGATCAATAACAAAAGATGACTAATAGATCTTCACAGAAGTTGAAGCAGGTGAAACGATTTGAAACAATTCCACTTCAGTTTTTGGTCAGACATTTATATATTTAATCTGTGTAGAATTTATGTCTTGTCGTTTTTCTTCCAGAAATCTTTCTGCCTTTATTTAACCTTTACACCAATCAATTACTAAATTAGTTGATCATTTCTATAATCAATCATTTCAGCTCCGGTTTATCAGGAACTAACGAGTTGTTTTTTTCTCAGAGTTTGAAATCAACGTCGTCGTCATCCTGCAGGACGATCACCTGATCACCGAGAACTTCCCTCTGAAGCTCTGCAGAGTCTGATCCATCGATCAGTGATCCATCGATCAGTGATCCATCAAATACAGTCTGAACTGCATAGATTTGCTCACTGAACATATTTGAGGTGAAATTCAAACATTAATATTTGAACTAAAATCAGAATGCAGTCCATAATTTTTCTGCTTGTTCTCAAACTTTGATGAATTTATGCTCAGATTTATTGATTCCACCTCATTTCTCCTAACTTTGTTTCTATTAATCATGTTTGATGAGCAGAATTTATCTGAGCTATAAAATGGAAAATAAATTACATGTTTCAGGAGATTCCAGTGAGTTTATTTACTGTTTGCTTAAATTATCAGTGAAAAAACTTTCCATAAATTTATTTTATTTTGTAAATGATTTTCATTTTGGTCCTGAATAACTATATTTTAGTTGATTGAGTGACATAATGTTTAATATTGAATGATTAGTAAACAGAATTATTGATAAACATTTTTAAAGTATTAGAGTCAGACAAGCTCCAACACCAAATTCTTTATTTTCTCAAGTTTTAAATGTAAATAAAATTAGGAAAACAAATAATTTAAAGAACGAAATTTTAAAAATAAAATTAAAAATGGGATAAAAGCAGAAACGGAGCATCAGGGGGCCTGGCGCCTCCTGGTGGACAGAGCGGGGAAGTCGTCAGGCAGCAGCGCGTGAGTCCTGCAGGTGGGACAGGTGTTCTTCTCCTTCAGCCAGGACCGGATGCACTGGACAGACAGAACCGGGTCAGAACTGCAGGGAGCCTGGAGGCCCGTTGGGCCCGTCGGGTCTCACCTGGTCGTGGTAGCTGTGCCGACACTCCAGCACGCAGGCGTCCTCTGGACTCATGTCCTCATGGCAGATGATGCAGGGATCCTCCATGTTCAGCTGCAGGAAGACGCAGGTTATTGACGAGCTGGTCGATTCATCATTGATTGTTAGTTAATTGATAAGCGGCCATTTTCCTAAAAACCTGACTTTTCTCTTGAATCGAAACGACCATCTTACCATGACATCCTGATTTAAAAACTTAACATTTGTTTGAACGTCGTTTTATGAAATTCAAAGATTGAGAATAAAAAGTGAAACTTTTCTCCACTTTAATTCACTGCAGCCTTAAATCAACCGTTTTTATCTTCATGTTTTACAGTTTTCAGTCACTTCATCTGAAGTTGGTTTATGATTGACTAAAGGGCGATTCCACCCGAAAACTGAAATACTTTGCATCCAGTTTGACATTTCAAACTGGACGCAAATTAGCTGTAAATTATGATTAATCTACTAATCAGTTAAATTGGATCAATATACCTCTTTCAAGCCATAATTATATTACTTTAAATGATTCATGAATATTTAGTTTCTAATGTTTTAAACAAAATTTTTCCCCTTTTGGGAACTTCATACTTTTATTTATAAAGCACCTTAAAACAGCTGCAACAAAATGAGCTAAATATAAATATGGAAATAAAGAATAGAAAAAACGAAAGTGAACAAAAACAAGTTTCCAGTTTTAAAAGTGGCCAATAAATAATAATAAGGTGGAGCTGAAACCAAATGTCCAGTCAAATCAAGCGTCTCTTTTGCTTGGCGGCTGAGTCGGACTCACGGCGTTCGGGTTTCGGACTCTCTGCGCTCCGACCAGCTGCCACACCGGGTTCTGGTTCCCCTGAGCCGGGCTGGACCGGCCCACGGCGGCGGATGACTTCAGTGTTTCCTGAGGAACAGGAGGAAAGCGGGTGAATGGCTGAAAGCCGCGGCTCTAAGCCAATCAGAGCGCGGCTCTAAGCCAATCAGAGCGCGGCTCTAAGCCAATCAGAGCGCGGCTCTACGAACCCATACCTGATGGTCCAGGATGAGCTGCGCCACGCCGCTGACCACTTCCTGTAGCGGCACCAGGTTCAGACTTCCCCCTCTGGCCAGACGGAAGTCCTGAACGAAACGCATCAAGTCGGACCTGCAGATCAACCAGAACCGGGTCAGATCCGGGTCAGATCCGGGTCATCCACAGATCAGCGGCTGAGCCGTTTCTACCTGCTCGGCTCTACCTGGAATCTACCTGGAATAGTCTGGAAACATGGCGGTCAGGCTGTCCATGGCCTTCTGGAAAACCGAGACGAGCAGCGGCTCCTTCCTGGCGGCGGCTCGGGGCGGCGCGGCGGGCGGGGCGGCGGCTCGGCGGCGGCTGGAGAGGCGGGTTGAGGCGGCGGATCGTTGGCTGCGGCAGGAATCTGCAACAGAAACAGAAGTTGACCTTACGGTGACCCTGGGAGGAATCGACGGAGCAAACGTCACTTTTTGAGTCGACTGATTGGAGAAACAAAAACTCAGCAAGAAGTTCAACATTTTTGATGTCTGGAAAACAAGCGGTTAAAAAAACAAACACTAAGCTGTTACCTAGCAACAAGCCAGCCCGTTGCCTAGCAACGCCAACTGATCTCTGGTGTTTGGTCTGCTGTAGATCAGCTGCGGTTGCTAGGTAACGGGCCGGCTACCGAGTATCCGGGTCAGGGGTCGGCCGGGTCAGGGGTCGGCCGGGTCAGGGGTCGGCCGGGTCAGGGGCCGGCCGGGTCAGGGGCCGGCCGGGTCAGGGGTCGGCCGGGTCAGGGGGCGGCCGGGTCAGGGGTCGGCCGGGTCAGGGGGCGGCGGGTCAGGGGTCGCCGGGTCAGGGGGCGGGTCAGGGGCGGCCGGGTCAGGGGTCGGCCGGGTCAGGGGTCGGCCGGGTCAGGGGGCGGCCGGGTACGACCTCTGCTGAATCAGCAGGTCTGTGGATCCGTCTGCTGTGGATCACAGGATCTTCTGGTTGCTGTTGGAGGTTCCGGTTCTTTCCAACAGGACTTTCTTTAGATGTGGGACAGGGTCGGTCCTCTGGAGTTCGGGTTCCTCGGGTCCATGTTGGCGCCTTGTCTCTGCTGCCTTTGGGTCGAATCTTCACCGAGCACAAAGTCTCTCACTGATGGGTTCAGATCCATCTGCTGTCGCAGCCAGTCTGCTGACGGTACAGGACCCACTTCAGGATGTTCAGACATTCCTGGACCCAAATAGGGAAAACCTGAAGCCGTATGTGTGGCCGGCGCCGTCCTCTCCTGGACGTGACGGTGCGGTCGGTCCTCCTGCCGTTTGTGAAAGTCTGGCTGTAAATGTGATTAGCATGTTAGCGCTGCTATCAAAGCTACATCCTTTCAGATCCTTGCTAAGGTCAGACCTCATCTTCCTCTGCCTGAGTTTGATCCCGTCGTTCGTCACGTTTAGATTATCCTGACTCTTTGTATTCAGCGTTGCAGCAGCGCAAACAAGATGCTGCAGCTCCATGATGCTGCAGCAATCTGTGACCCTGGTTCTACGACCCCTTCACCGACTCCCTGCTGCATCAGGATCCAGTTTAAGGTCTTATTGATTTTTGGGTCCCTGGTGCTGAAGTGAGCTCTAGCAGCTCTGAGGTCGGCTGGCGGCCTGAAGCCCCGACCCTGACCCTGACCCCTCACCCCCAGAGGGTGGATCGTCTCCCTCTGGCTTCTGAATCATTAATTTATCTGTGTTGTGTTTGTGGTGAAGCGATGTGTTCAACACTAGGCCTCATATGAGGTTGCTGGAAATGTGCTTCATAAATAAACTTTGACTAGACTCAAACAGGAGGGAAATGTTCCAGGAAGGTTTCCTGATCTATAGATCTATGTAGGTCAACTCCTGGGTTTGAGACACGTGACCCGGATGACGTTCAAATCAGAGCAAAATGGACCACAGTGAGAAGCTAACGCCCGAAATAGGCTGAAACAGACGAGGCATCTAAAAACATACGCGGATATTTAGGATAGGATCCGTATTATCTCGGTAGAAAGACTTCTGCTATAACCTGGAGGATTTCCCCGCATGGAGGCGATCCACATAACGAACCACCTGGAGCTGCAGGCCTCATATTGCACCAGGAGCCAGAAGAACGTTTCCAAAAGCCTGGAGAATAAAGTCATTTAGCTTCAGGTTGGCTCAAATTTAGGATCAAAAGAAGCATTAAATGGCCGTCCACTGGTTTCTGCCTGGTCACTAAGGAACTGTGCTATTTTAAGTCATCAGTCTATGATAACCATGCTACTGCTAACAACAAGCTAACCCATGTTATGTCTATGAGCCTGGATCTCCTGCTAAATCATTTATTTAGCTTCTGTAAACCCGCTTCATGCAGGAGTTGTACGTTGGTGTTGAGTCGTTGTAGGATTCAGGTCCAATGTGGGTCGACTGTTGGCTCCCATCTGCAGAAACCCAGACATGAACCGTGTGGGGAACAGTCAAAGTCTGTGTGGCTGGGTAGCTTACGTTTCATTTATTTAGCTTCTTTACCATGAATGAACATTCTAGTTTCTGTCTGGGACTCGGCACTGAGCTAGCGGCTAACAGCGTTAGCGCTCTGACGACAACCAAGCCACGGAAATAATATCTGACCTTACATATGAATGCTCGTCTTTCTAAGTAACTGTCAGTAAAATGTCTGAAATGCAATTTAAAGGACGGAGCGCTCGCTGCCTGTTAGAAAGTGGCTGCAAACTCTGGCCTTGTTAGTTTTCACTCCTCCTGGTTTTAGCTGCAGGTTGTTCATCCACTTTTCTCCTCTTTTTTCTCTAAGTTTTAAAATCAACTCCCTTGTCACCGACTACCTTCCAAACACAAAAATAAGGTTTATCTTCCTCTGCGTTAGAGGAACAACCGTACAGGACTCAGACTTGAGACATTTTGATGCTGTTCAGCAGAAATAAATACATTTACTTCCTGCCTCCATCTGCACTGGGTGACGTCGAGCTTCATCGTCTCAAACTCAGTCGATGTATCTCTATAGATCTACAGAATGTAACGTTTCATCACTGCATTCATAAAATTAACATAAAACATAAATTTATCTGAGGTGAAAAGCTTCACTGATCAAAAGCAGAAAACATTCAAAACTTTTTGATTTGAAGCTCTTAAAACAATTGGAGTCAAACTGCCGACTCTCTGCAGCTGAATTGTTGTGATGACTCAGTAAGAACCTGCAGAACCGGTCCGATTGGAGCGGCCGCACCGTCTCCGACCCGGCGGCCACTCAGCTGGTCCAGAACGTCCTGATAGCGGCGCTGCAGAGAAACAGGAAATGAGGCCGGCCCGGTTTGAACCCAATGCAGCCAAATGCTTCAGATTCTGGTTCTGGTACCTCAGCAGTGGAAATGTTCTTCTCCACTTCCTCCACCTTTGCTTTGCAGCCGTTCCTCACCGGTTCCAGCTCCTGGTTCTGGGTTCTGCAAAAGTGATAAACATTTAAAATAAATAATTTAAAATAAATGAGTATTTCTGATGTTTTAACATTTCCTGAAATAAATCCCTGCTTTAATATTCATGCCTCGTTCTTTGCAACAACATATTTGTGGAAAATTCCAAGTTTTCTGAAGATCAAATCTAAAAATATTGGAAAGAAAACGCAGCTGGAGAAGCTAAAGTAGCAACGCTAGCCGACGTGTGATTGGCCGCCGCTGCAGAACATTTGATTTCCTTGGAGCTGATTGGCTGAAAACAGTAGGAACGTCTATTTGTCCTGATTTTCCAGAGTCAACTAAATATTAAAATGTTCTTTTACACATTGAGAATAAAACTATTTAACCACAGATCAATAACTTCCTGAGATATTAGAAATAATAAATGTTGATCATATTGAAACAATCCAGATGGTAAACAACCTCCAGCAATTAAAGGTTTAAAGTTTTCTGGTTTTTATCTTCTGGTGATTCAACCAAAACCTAAAAACACGAAAAGTTTTTTTCTGATTTAATTTCAAGCAAAGAAAAAATAAACTGTACATAAAGGTTTTCAAATTTAGACATTCAAATATTAAATTTTATTACAAAAGTGTTCATTTAAATATCAAGGACATCCTGGAAAACAAGAATTCAAGGATTTCAAACACTTACAATAAGGAAGACTTCCAAAGGAGTCACACACCAAGTTTTAATTCAAATTCAATAAAAAAACCTTAAAGCTATTATAACAAAAACTCAGAATGAGCTGCAGATTTCAACCTGCCATTAGTAGCTCCTGCCCCACCCGTCTGCAGCCTGTTTAGCGTTAGCCTCACCCGTCTGCAGCCTGTTTAGCGTTAGCCTCACCCGTCTGCAGCCTGTTTAGCATTAGCCTCACCCGTCTGCACCCTGTTTAGCGTTAGCCCCACCCGTCTGCAGCCTGTTAGCGTTAGCCTCACCGTCTGCAGCCTGTTTAGCGTTAGCCTCACCGTCTGCACCCTGTTTAGCGTTAGCCTCACCCGTCTGCAGCCTGTTTAGCGTTAGCCTCACCCGTCTGCAGCCTGTTTAGCGTTAGCCTCACCCGTCTGCAGCCTGTTTAGCGTTAGCCTCACCCGTCTGCAGCCTGTTTAGCGTTAGCCTCACCCGTCTGCAGCCTGTTTAGCGTTAGCCTCACCCGTCTGCAGCCTGTTTAGCGATAACCTCACCGTCTGCAGCCTGTTTAGCGATAACCTCACCCGTCTGCAGCCTGTTTAGCGTTAGCCTCACCCGTCTGCAGCCTGTTTAGCGTTAGCCTCACCCGTCTGCAGCCTGTTTAGCATTAGCCTCACCCGTCTGCACCCTGTTTAGCGTTAGCCCCACCCGTCTGCAGCCTGTTTAGCGTTAGCCTCACCGTCTGCAGCCTGTTTAGCGTTAGCCTCACCCGTCTGCACCCTGTTTAGCGTTAGCCTCACCCGTCTGCAGCCTGTTTAGCGTTAGCCTCACCCGTCTGCAGCCTGTTTAGCGTTAGCCTCACCGTCTGCAGCCTGTTTAGCGTTAGCCTCACCCGTCTGCAGCCTGTTTAGCGTTAGCCTCACCCGTCTGCAGCCTGTTTAGCGTTAGCCTCACCCGTCTGCAGCCTGTTTAGCGTTAGCCTCACCGTCTGCAGCCTGTTTAGCGTTAGCCTCACCGTCTGCAGCCTGTTTAGCGTTAGCCTCACCCGTCTGCAGCCTGTTTAGGGTTAGCCTCACCCGTCTGCAGCCTGTTTAGCGTTAGCCTCACCCGTCTGCAGCCTGTTTAGGGTAAGCCCCACCGGTCTGCAGCCTGTTTAGCGTTAGCCTCACCCGTCTGCAGCCTGTTAGCGTTAGCCTCACCCGTCTGCAGCCTGTTTAGCGTTAGCCTCACCCGACTGCAGCCTGTTTAGCGTTAGCCTCACCCGTCTGCAGCCTGTTTAGCGTTAGCCTCACCGTCTGCAGCCTGTTTAGCGTTAGCCTCACCCGTCTGCAGCCTGTTTAGCGTTAGCCTCACCGTCTGCAGCCTGTTTAGCGTTAGCCTCACCGTCTGCAGCCTGTTTAGCGTTAGCCTCACCCGTCTGCAGCCTGTTTAGCGTTAGCCTCACCCGTCTGCAGCCTGTTTAGCGTTAGCCTCACCCGTCTGCAGCCTGTTTAGCGTTAGCCTCACCCGTCTGCAGCCTGTTTAGCGTTAGCCTCACCCGTCTGCAGCCTGTTTAGCGTTAGCCTCACCGTCTGCAGCCTGTTTAGCGTTAGCCTCACCCGTCTGCAGCCTGTTTAGCGTTAGCCTCACCCGTCTGCAGCCTGTTTAGCGTTAGCCTCACCCGTCTGCAGCCTGTTTAGCGTTAGCCTCACCCGTCTGCAGCCTGTTTAGCGTTAGCCTCACCCGTCTGCAGCCTGTTTAGCGTTAGCCTCACCCGTCTGCAGCCTGTTTAGCGTTAGCCTCACCCGTCTGCAGCCTGTTTAGCATTAGCCTCACCCGTCTGCACCCTGTTTAGCGTTAGCCCCACCCGTCTGCAGCCTGTTTAGCGTTAGCCTCACCGTCTGCAGCCTGTTTAGCGTTAGCCTCACCCGTCTGCACCCTGTTTAGCGTTAGCCTCACCCGTCTGCAGCCTGTTTAGCGTTAGCCTCACCCGTCTGCAGCCTGTTTAGCGTTAGCCTCACCGTCTGCAGCCTGTTTAGCGTTAGCCTCACCCGTCTGCAGCCTGTTTAGCGTTAGCCTCACCCGTGCAGCCTGTTTAGCGTTAGCCTCACCCGTCTGCAGCCTGTTTAGGGTTAGCCTCACCCGTCTGCAGCCTGTTTAGCGTTAGCTCACCCGTCTGCAGCCTGTTTAGGGTAAGCCCCACCGGTCTGCAGCCTGTTTAGCGTTAGCCTCACCCGTCTGCAGCCTGTTTAGCGTTAGCCTCACCGTCTGCAGCCTGTTTAGCGTTAGCCTCACCCGACTGCAGCCTGTTTAGCGTTAGCCTCACCCGTCTGCAGCCTGTTTAGCGTTAGCCTCCCGTCTGCAGCCTGTTTAGCGTTAGCCTCACCCGTCTGCAGCCTGTTTAGCGTTAGCCTCACCGTCTGCAGCCTGTTTAGCGTTAGCCTCACCGTCTGCAGCCTGTTTAGCGTTAGCCTCACCCGTCTGCAGCCTGTTTAGCGTTAGCCTCACCCGTCTGCAGCCTGTTTAGCGTTAGCCTCACCCGTCTGCAGCCTGTTTAGCGTTAGCCTCACCCGTCTGCAGCCTGTTTAGCGTTAGCCTCACCCGTCTGCAGCCTGTTTAGCGTTAGCCTCACCCGTCTGCAGCCTGTTTAGCGTTAGCCTCACCCGTCTGCAGCCTGTTTAGCGTTAGCCTCACCCGTCTGCAGCCTGTTTAGCGTTAGCCTCACCCGTCTGCAGCCTGTTTAGCGTTAGCCTCACCCGTCTGCAGCCTGTTTAGCGTTAGCCTCACCCGTCTGCAGCCTGTTTAGCGTTAGCCTCACCCGTCTGCAGCCTGTTTAGCGTTAGCCTCACCCGTCTGCAGCCTGTTTAGCGTTAGCCTCACCCGTCTGCAGCCTGTTTAGCGTTAGCCTCACCGTCTGCAGCCTGTTTAGCGTTAGCCTCACCGTCTGCAGCTGTTTAGCGTTAGCCTCACCCGTCTGCAGCCTGTTTAGCGTTAGCCTCACCCGTCTGCAGCCTGTTTAGGGTTAGCCTCACCCGTCTGCAGCCTGTTTAGCGTTAGCCTCACCCGTCTGCAGCCTGTTTAGGGTTAGCCCCACCGGTCTGCAGCCTGTTTAGCGTTAGCCTCACCCGTCTGCAGCCTGTTTAGCGTTAGCCCACCCGTCTGCAGCCTGTTTAGCGTTAGCCTCACCCGTCTGCAGCCTGTTTAGCGTTAGCCTCACCCGTCTGCAGCCTGTTTAGCGTTAGCCTCACCCGTCTGCAGCCTGTTTAGCGTTAGCCTCACCCGTCTGCAGCCTGTTTAGCGTTAGCCTCACCCGTCTGCAGCCTGTTTAGCGTTAGCCTCACCCGTCTGCAGCCTGTTTAGCGTTAGCCTCACCGTCTGCAGCCTGTTTAGCGTTAGCCTCACCCGTCAGCAGCCTGTTTAGCGTTAGCCTCACCCGTCTGCAGCCTGTTTAGCGTTAGCCTCACCCGTCTGCAGCCTGTTTAGCGTTAGCCTCACCCGTCTGCAGCCTGTTTAGCGTTAGCCTCACCCGTCTGCAGCCTGTTTAGCGTTAGCCTCACCCGTCTGCAGCCTGTTTAGCGTTAGCCTCACCCGTCTGCAGCCTGTTAGCGTTAGCCTCACCCGTCTGCAGCCTGTTTAGCGTTAGCCTCACCCGTCTGCACCCTGTTTAGCGTTAGCCTCACCCGTCTGCAGCCTGTTTAGCGTTAGCCTCACCCGTCTGCAGCCTGTTTAGCGTTAGCCTCAACGTCTGCAGCCTGTTTAGCTTTAGCCTCACCCGTCTGCAGCCTGTTTAGCATTAGCCTCACCGTCTGCAGCCTGTTTAGCGTTAGCCTCACCCGTCTGCAGCCTGTTTAGCGTTAGCCTCAACGTCTGCAGCCTGTTTAGCGTTAGCCTCACCCGTCTGCAGCCTTTTAGCGTTAGCCTCACCCTTCTGCAGCCTGTTTAGCGTTAGCCTCAACCGTCTGCAGCCTGTTTAGCGTTAGCCTCACCCGTCTGCGGCCTGTTTAGCGTTAGCCTCACCGTCTGCAGCCTGTTTAGCGTTAGCCTCAACCGTCTGCAGCCTGTTTTAGCGTTAGCCTCACCCGTCTGCGGCCTGTTTAGCGTTAGCCTCACCCGTCTGCAGCCTGTTTAGCGTTAGCGTCACCCGTCTGCAGCCTGTTTAGCGTTAGCCTCACCCGTCTGCAGCCTGTTTAGCGTTAGCCTCACCCGTCTGCAGCCTGTTTAGCGTTAGGCTCACCCGTCTGCAGCCTGTTTAGCGTTAGCCTCACCCGTCTGCAGCCTGTTTAGCGTTAGCCTCAACGTCTGCAGCCTGTTTAGCTTTAGCCTCACCCGTCTGCAGCCTGTTTAGCATTAGCCTCACCGTCTGCAGCCTGTTTAGCGTAGCCTCACCCGTCTGCAGCCTGTTTAGCGTTAGCCTCAACGTCTGCAGCCTGTTTAGCATTAGCCTCACCCTCTGCAGCTTGTTTAGCGTTAGCCTCACCCTTCTGCAGCCTGTTTAGCGTTAGCCTCAACCGTCTGCAGCCTGTTTAGCGTTAGCCTCACCGTCTGCGGCCTGTTAGCGTTAGCCTCACCGTCTGCAGCCTGTTAGCGTTAGCCTCACCCGTCTGCGGCCTGTTTTAGCGTTAGCCTCACCGTCTGCAGCCTGTTTAGCGTTAGCCTCACCCGTCTGCAGCTGTTTAGCGTTAGCCTCACCCTCTGCAGCCTGTTTAGCGTTAGCCTCACCCGTCTGCAGCCTGTTTAGCGTAGCCTCACCCGTCTGCAGCCTGTTTAGCGTTAGCCTCACCCGTCTGCAGCCTGTTTAGCGTTAGGCTCACCCGTCTGCAGCCTGTTTAGCGTTAGGCTCACCCGTCTGCAGCCTGTTTAGCGTTAGCCTCATCCGTCTGCAGCCTGTTAGCGTTAGCCTCACCGTCTGCAGCCTGTTTAGCGTTAGCCTCATCCGTCTGCAGCCTGTTTAGCGTTAGCCCCACCGGTCTGCAGCCTGTTAGCGATAACCTCACCCGTCTGCAGCCTGTTTAGCGATAACCTCACCCGTCTGCAGCCTGTTTAGCGATAACCTCACCCGTCTGCAGCCTGTTTAGCGATAACCTCACCCGTCTGCAGCCTGTTTAGCGTTAGCCTCACCCGTCTGCAGCCTGTTTAGCGTTAGCCTCACCCGTCTGCAGCCTGTTTAGCGTTAGCCTCACCCGTCTGCAGCCTGTTTAGCGCTAGCCTTACCTGAGCACCGCCTCATCCAGCTTGCTGAGCAGCGTCTTGGCATCGGCGAGCTCTCTGTGCAGGACGTTCAGACTCTGATCCTGCTGCTTTCAGCCGCTGACAGCTGCAGCAAACAGGCAGATAAACGTCACCGTGGATCTGCCAGTTGCAGTCCTTTCTTTGGTTTCCGTGGTTACCTGAGCCATGTAGGACCTCCTGCCAGCAGAGGTCAGCAGAGCCTGGTGGCGCTTTATCTCATCCTCCAAACTCATCTTCTCAGCCGCTGACTGGTTGCTACAGAAAGCGACGCATGGCATGAGCAATCGGTGGGATTTTCATAAATCCTGGTTTCCTGCTGCTGTTGCTCACCTGAGCTCCAGGAAGTCGTTGAGTTTGACCTCATAGCTGTTGTTCTTCTCTCTGATGCTCCTGGAAAAGCTGCAAGGAGAAAAACATCAGGAAGGATCCGGCTCAATCGCCTGGAGAAACCTTGAGCTTCGCTGCAGGTTTAGGATGAAAGATCTGATCGCCAACTGAAACCGAATCTATAATTAGCAAATAGAGCAACGATTACACAACCATAAATCTTCAAAAAGCATTAGTGGAGCCTCCTGTACAACCAGCCAGAATGCAGCAAGTCAAAAACAAAAACAGCAGCCATTGTACAGCGCATACAGCGGGAAAACCGGCTGACCAGACGCCTGAGATCAGCTGCGGTTGCCAGGTAAAGGCGCAGTGTCATCAATAATTAGGTTTTTCAACAGCTTGTTTTCCAGACACCAAAAACATGAATTTATTGCTAAAAAAATGACTGGTGTTTTTTTTTAGAAGAAGGAAGATCTAAAACTGAAGGGTAAAAATGAGGAAATTGTGAATTTTTCACGTCTCCATGAAAACAAGCTGGTTTGTTGCTGAAACTGGGTTTTCCCAGGAATCTGAGTTGAATTTACTACTTTTTACTACCGCTACAACATCACTCCTACCAACACAAAATCGAGACGGTTTCCCCCATTTTGGGAGATCTATGATCGATATCTACGTGAAGCCGATCTCGACCTCTGATCTTTTTCTACTTGAGCGAAGGTCTATAAATCAGTCTATGTTGTCCCTCTTCTGCTCTGCAGTGAGAGGTTTGGCTGATGGACCGGCCCAAACGGTCCGGTCTGCAAGCTTGTAGACCCCACTGTTACCAACTCAGATTTTATTCTTATATTTAACGATGTTTCAATCAAAAATGCCACCAGCTAAAATCCAAATGGGCAGGTCAAACTTTTTACAGACTGATCATCTACGATCTGAGAGAAGCTGCAGTCGCTTCACTGACCCATGGAAGATAACGGCTCCTGGAAAACTTTATCCCACTGACTTGACGGTCTGACGGACTTTAACTGGACCAAAACCTCTCGTTGAAAACAGGAAGCACTATTTTGAGTTTATCCTAAATCCATAACACCATTTGTTTTTTAAAGAATATCAGTAAAATGCAATGACATTGCACTTTCACAAGCCCAGGTTTTATTCCCAATAGAATATTAGTTGCTCCTAATTTCAAACTAGGACAACTTCATAACAAGGTTCAAAGGTTATCTATTGAAAAGTTGCAGCCAGGTGACGACACAGCATCAGGTCATCCAGCTGATTAATGATCTGATCAACACCGCTGTGATCAGATCTGATCAGAAATGATCTGATCATCATTTATGATCCTGAAATAACCATCAAGCCTGAAACATCAAACTGTTGAGGACTGGATGTGTTGCTCTTTGGGAAACGTTTGCAGTTTTATGCTGTTGGATCCTCAAACACAGTGGAAAGTACATATGAGAGGTTTTCAGTTGCTCTCTTCTGAGTTATTTTTCCCTTTGCTGCGGCGCACTGCTCTACATGAAGGTTTCATTTAGTTACCGGAACCGTTCTGCCCGGGGCCCCCCGTCCACCAGGCCTGGGGCCCCATCCGTCCACCAGGCCTGAGGCCCTCCCGTCCACCAGGCCTGAGGCCCCTCCCGTCCACCAGGCCTGGGCCCCCCGGGGCCCCCCCCCGTCCACCAGGCCTGAGGCCCCCCGGGGCCCCCCCCCGTCCACCAGCCTGAGGCCCCCCGGGGCCCCCCCCCCGTCCACCAGGCCTGGGGCCTGTCCGTCCACCAGGCCTGGGGCCCCTCCCGTCCACCAGGCCTGGGGCCCCCTGAGGCCCCCCGGGCCCATTTGCAGCTACTAAAACTTTATCTCGTAGCTGAGCTGGAGTTTGCGTTGCGCGTTCAGCGGGAATCTGCTCCTCGGTGGAGCCTCAACCTGCTGCTGGACGGTTGACGCTCTCGGTCGGATTTGAACTCCGTCACGTCGTTCCAGGTTAAACTTAGAGATTTTCCTGCTGACTTTACTAAATGCCTTTCGGTCGTTCCTCGTCTTTCAATCTCGGATCAACGAGCAAAAGTTGTGAAAACTTCTGTTTTCGCTTGACGAAGCAAAATGACTGCTGGCATCAGCACAGCAGCTTGGAGTCCATCAGTGAATGCGAAAACATTACAACAATAGTTATCATTTTTATACAGACTTTAGAAAAACAAACTTAAAACAATAAGTGATGGAAAATGTAAAATATTTAGAAGGAATGATAAAAACTGTTACTATGTTTAGTTACTTCTTGCTACTTTTACTAACCTTGATTTAATTTACTACCTGTGAAAAGGTGTTTTTGCAGGGCAGCCGCCTCACCTGGCCTGCTCCCCACCAGGTGCTCCACCTCCGTCTTCAGCACCTTCAGCTCCTCCTGTTGGATTTCTTCTCCTTCTGGTCCTTCTTCACTTCCTCTCCAGCTTCTGCTGAAACATCAGCAGCTCCCTATGGGTCACCTGCTCAGCAAAACATTGAACAATTAGAAACATTTCAACATCGTTCCTCATGCAGGAGCTGCAGCTCCTCACACTCACCTGGATATTCGTGGTGATTTCTTTCATCTCCTTCTCCATCAGTCGGACGTCGTCATGCTCGCTCTGGTCGACTTCATTGGGTTTGCAGTATTTGCTGCTCCAACTTCCTGTTGCTCCGCTCCTGCTGATGATGTCACCCTGCAGACGGTCAGGAACCAGGAAGAGATGCAGAAAAACGCTGAAAGGAAAATGGATGGAGTGACGAAGAAGCCGGCGGCCATATTTATTATTTAAAGTTCAGGAAGTGACGATGACTCCAATGTTTAGATTATTATAATCTAGAATAACGATTCATCTCCAATTCTGGATTAATAATCCAGTTATTCAATATTTCATTCAACATTTCTGGACTTGAACCAGAACAGCGTGACCTCTGACCCCGTCACCAAACAGATGGGATCATACTGCAACACGTTGTTGCTAGAGTGAGTGAGTCGGCTGATGCTAGCAGTTAGCTTAGCTCACGTGAGATCGAGCGGTTCAAGAGTTTGCCTACATCTCCCAGCATGCCGAGCGTTTCAGGGACTCTGCCGTTAGATGTTATTGATCGAATCGAGGTCATCAGCCAAGAGGATCAACACCAGCTCTGGAGGAGCTGCAGAGAGATGCCGCTCAGGTGGAAGGATCATCATCTTTGTGACTCACCTGCTGCGCCTCCCAGCGTTCGTGCCGCTCTGTGTTCACCGCCACGCTGCTCACGGCGCCCGCACTCGTCTGCCAGAGCAAAACAAACATCATGAGGGAAACGCTCGCTGCGATACGGCGGGAACGGCGGCGGCGGCGGCCTTCACCTGAACCGCCGCGTCGCTACGACAACGACTCGCCTCCGAGGAGAAAACGCTCTTGTGAGGAGTCGGATCTCTGTCCAACTGCTCAGAAATATCGTCCAGAGCGTCCAGCTGAGGCTCGGCGAACCGTTTGGCAGTGCAGCCGCAGTCGATGACCGACCAGGCGGCCGCAGCGTCGCTTCCTGCCGGGTAGAAGGAGTACGGGTCGGGCAGGACCGGCTGCGCTCCGGCAACGGGGAAGCAGAACCCGACAGGTAGTCGGAGCCAGCGCGCGCGGGTCGGGCGACGCCGCATCGTGCCGCGGGTCGCCGATGTCCGTCCAGGTCGTCCAGGCTGGCGGCGTGCCGCGGGCCGACGGCCTGCCGGGTCAGGCCGATGCGTCGCCCGATCTTAATGAAGTGCAGCGACTCCAACAGGAAGCTCTCCAGGCCGCCCGCCTCGGCGATCTTCCTCCGAGCCGCGTCCGGAAGTGGCGAGTTCGCCCACCAGCAGGCGGTCCTCGTCCACCAGCGGGCCGTGCTCCTCCAGGATCTGGGCGAAATACCTGCAGCAGGACGGGGCGTGACGGCAAGACGGGGCGTGACGGCAAGACGCCCCGCGGGCAAAACAACAAAAAACACAGGAAGAGTCAGAAACACGCAGCAGGAAGCCAGTGACTCCATGAAACCATAAATTGAAACTCAACAGGAAGTAACAACTATGACTAAATCTCATGATTATGACTTCCAGGATTTGACTTTTATTTTACAACCAGAGTTGATTGGTAGGGAAATGCATTCTGTGACAGAGTATGAAGGCCAGGCTATGAAAATGTGTTTAATTGTGAAAATAAACTCACATTAGCAGAAAAATGAGGAAACGTGTGAATGTGTAAAAGCGTTTCGCCTCACCGCCGCTTTTCAAACCGTTTCTCTGATCAAGTTTCATTTTCTAGAATTTGAGACGCTGCTTGTTATCTGGTGTCTGTTTGCTGACAATGTGGAGAAATTACTCAATAATATTGGTATCAATCTTAAAATATTAAAAATGGACTAAAATCTCATTTTGGGACAGAAAATAATGGGTTGTCCAACTTTAACTACTCCATTTTTTTGTTGAATATCAAAAAAACTTGGGCAGAAACTGACTGATGGAAACCCGATCCGAACCCGATCTGATCCAAACCAAATAAGACGCTTCCTCGTTCATTTTATATTTTCTAAATAATCTATTTATTAGATTAATTTGACACAATTCCAGAATCTCAGAGGAAAATGATCCAAATGTTGGAACATCCATCCATTTTCTTCTGTTCATCCAGAGCGGGTCGCGGGGTCAGCAGCCTAAGAATGGAGGCCCAGACGTCCCTCTTGTTCCGGCTCCTCCGGGGGAATCCCACGGCGTTCCCAGGCCAGACAAGGATCATCCATCCTGGTCTTCCTCTCCTCCCGGTGGGACCTGAACTCCTCACAGGGAGCCTCCATCCTGACCAGATGCTTGAGCCTCAGCTGGGTCCTCTCCATGTGGAGGAGCAGCAGCTCTACTCTGAGTCCCTCCCGGTGGGATGACTGCGCTTCTCTCTCAGGGAGCCCAGCCACCCTACGGAAAAAACCCATTTCGGCCGCTTGTATCCGCGATCTCGTTCTTTCAGCCATGACCCAAAGCTCATGACCAGAGATGAGGGTAGGGACGTAGATCGACCGGTAAATCGAGAGCTTCTCTTTTTGACTCAGCTCTCTCTTCACCCCGACGGACCGGTACAGCGCCGCTTCACGGCGGACGCTGCGCCAATCCGCCTGTCGATCTCCCGCTGCCTTCTTCCCTCATTCGTGAACAAGATCCAGAGATACTTGAACTGCTCCACTTGGGGCAGGAGAAGCACTCTACCCTTTTCCGGCTCAAGACCACGGCCTCGGATTTGGAGGCACTGATCCTCATCTCGGCCGCTTCACCCTCGGCTGCAAACCGCTCCAGCGAGAGCTGCAGGTCACGACCTGATGAAGCCAACAGGACCACATCATGCACAAAAAGCAGAGGATCAAAGGTCACGGTGGCCTTTGATCCTCTGGTTACCAAAACGGATCCCCTCAACACCCTGGCTGCTTTACAGATTGTCATTTTACGTTAAAGTCGTATTTCTGTCGGCCTTCAGTGGCTGTGTGTGCAAAGTGCTATTAAACTTTAGTGACTACTTACTCATACAGACTTTCTTTGGTGGAGTCAGGGTGGTTGTCTAAAAATTTTGTATAGGTCGATCTGTATTGGTCCTCAAAATCAGCCACCTGCTCTCTAAGGTGGCTGGGAACGCTAAACGGGTCACCGGGGTGAAGGAACGATCTGTGGACAGGAAGTTCAGCATCAGCATGGAAACGGCGAAACGACCAGCAGCTCGTCACCACGGAGCCGAACTCACAAAGAGTCTTCTTCAAAAAGGTCCTGGTCCCACGTCTCTGGGCGTTAGCGCTCGGGTCGGAGGCAAACCGAAAACCCCCTGAGAGGAAACCAGCAGCAGGAGACGCCTTAGCACCACAGCAACAGCAACAACAACAGGAGACATTCACACCATCTACCTTTCGTTTCTTTTCCGGCCTCGACTTCTACTTCGAGTAGGAGAAATCTGGAACGAGATGGCGCTAACTTAGCTTAGCTTAGAGGAGCGTTTCCACCTGACCGCCTGAGAGGTCAGGTGGGTTAGTTTACAATAAAATAATCTGCAACTGAGAAAAGCAAGACTTGTGTTTTATGAATACCTGCTCCATAAATTATCCATTTTGTTTTGAAATACAAAAACTAACAATTTTATTTATAATTTTCCATTTTACGTCCCAGATTTATGGGAAAAGGTTTTTAGGAGTGGGACTGGAACTGCGATGCTAGGTAAAGGCACAGTGCCTGTAGATTAGTAATAATCTGCCAGCAGAACCAGAACTTTTTCAAATTAAGACCCGACCCAGCTTCCAGTCTGTTGCTGAAAGCCCTTCTGCTCAGGTTCAGGTGAAGAAATCAGATGTTAGAAAAACTTACATGATCATTTTCAGACTTTTTTAACACAGAACAATGAGTATCTGAAAAGCAAACAGAACATTTTAGAGCAAAGAGGAATGCTGATGAATCCTGTGGGTGGGTTGCCAGGTTGGCGTACGTACCCATCATATCAAAATATTCATCCAGTATACTGTGACAACAAACGTAGTCGTGTCTATGCTCCTCCAGAGTCCAGATAAAAAGCCGGACGTCACGCGCCGAGGCCTGCTTTAGAAACTCCGTCACCGTCAGGCCGAGGCGCCAAAACAAATCCACTTTAGTGTCTAGTTTCTCTAAAATCATTTGCTTTAAGGGGTCAAAGTTCAGCAGCACCGCCAGGTCCAGCTGCTCCAGGTGCTCAGAGTGCCGCTCGATGAAGGTCTGCGCCGCGGTCAGCCCTGCAACCAGACATGGCAACCAGAAACACGGCAATTAGAGACATGGCAACCAGAAACACAGCAACTAGAGACATGGCAACCAGAAACACAGCAACTACAGACATGGCAACCAGAAACACAGCAACTAGAGACATGGCAACCAGAAACACAGCAACTAGAGACATGGCAACCAGAAACACAGCAACTACAGACATGGCAACCAGAAACACAGCAACTAGAGACATGGCAACCAGAAACACAGCAACTAGAGACATGGCAACCAGAAACACAGCAACTACAGACATGGCAACCAGAAACACAGCAACTAGAGACATGGCAACCAGAAATACAGCAACTAGAGACATGGCAACCAGAAACAGCAACTAGAGACATGGCAACCAGAAACACGGCAACTAGAGACATGGCAACCAGAAACACGGCAACTAGAGACATGGCAACCAGAAACACAGCAACTACAGACATGGCAACCAGAAACACAGCAACTAGAGACATGGCAACCAGAAACAGCAACTAGAGACATGGCAACCAGAAACACAGCAACTACAGACATGGCAACCAGAAACACAGCAACTAGAGACATGGCAACCAGAAACACAGCAACTAGAGACATGGCAACCAGAAACACAGCAACTAGAGACATGGCAACCAGAAACAGCAACTAGAGACATGGCAACCAGAAATACAGCAACTAGAGACATGGCAACCAGAAACAGCAACTAGAGACATGGCAACCAGAAACACAGCAACTAGAGACATGGCAACCAGAAACATCAACTAGAGACATGGCAACCAGAAACACAGCAACTACAGACATGGCAACCAGAAACACAGCAACTAGAGACATGGCAACCAGAAACACAGCAACTAGAGACATGGCAACCAGAAACATGGCAACTAGAGACATGGCAACCAGAAACATGGCAACTAGAGACATGGCAACCAGAAACATGGCAACTAGAGACATGGCAACCAGAAACAGCAACTAGAGACATGGCAACCAGAAACACAGCAACTAGAGACATGGCAACCAGAAACACAGCAACTAGAGACATGGCAACCAGAAACACAGCAATTAGAGACATGGCAACCAGAAACACGGCAACTAGAGACATGGCAACCAGAAACACAGCAACTAGAGACATGGCAACCAGAAACACAGCAATTAGAGACATGGCAACCAGAAACACGGCAACTAGAGACATGGCAACCAGAAACACGGCAACTAGAGACATGGCAACCAGAAACACAGCAACTAGAGACATGGCAACCAGAAACATGGCAACTAGAGACATGGCAACCAGAAACACGGCAACTACAGACATGGCAACCAGAAACACGGCAACTAGAGACATGGCAACCAGAAACATGGCAACTAGAGACATGGCAACCAGAAACACAGCAACTAGAGACATGGCAACCAGAAACACGGCAACTAGAGACATGGCAACCAGAAACACAGCAACTAGAGACATGGCAACCAGAAACACGGCAACTAGAGACATGGCAACCAGAAACACGGCAACTAGAGACATGGCAACCAGAAACATGGCAACTAGAGACATGGCAACCAGAAACACAGCAACTAGAGACATGGCAACCAGAAACACGGCAACTAGAGACATGGCAACCAGAAACACAGCAACTAGAGACATGGCAACCAGAAACATGGCAACTAGAGACATGGCAACCAGAAACATGGCAACTAGAGACATGGCAACCAGAAACACAGCAACTAGAGACATGGCAACCAGAAACACGGCAACTAGAGACATGGCAACCAGAAACACGGCAACTAGAGACATGGCAACCAGAAACAGCAACTAGAGACATGGCAACCAGAAACACAGCAACTAGAGACATGGCAACCAGAAACACGGCAACTAGAGACATGGCAACCAGAAACACAGCAACTAGAGACATGGCAACCAGAAACACAGCAACTACAGACATGGCAACCAGAAACACAGCAAACTAGAGACATGGCAACCAGAAACACAGCAACTAGAGACATGGCAACCAGAAACACAGCAACTAGAGACATGGCAACCAGAAACACAGCAACTAGAAACATGGCAACCAGAAACACGGCAACTACAGACATGGCAACCAGAAACACGGCAACTAGAGACATGGCAACCAGAAACACGGCAACTAGAGACATGGCAACCAGAAACACGGCAACTAGAGACATGGCAACCAGAAACACAGCAAACTAGAGACATGGCAACCAGAAACACAGCAAACATGGCAACCAGAAACACAGCAAACATGGCAACCAGAAACACAGCAACTACAGACATGGCAACCAGAAACACAGCAACTAGAGACATGGCAACCAGAAACACGGCAACTAGAGACATGGCAACCAGAAACATGGCAACTAGAGACATGGCAACCAGAAACATGGCAACTAGAGACATGGCAACCAGAAACACGGCAACTAGAGACATGGCAACCAGAAACACGGCAACTAGAGACATGGCAACCAGAAACACGGCAACTAGAGACATGGCAACCAGAAACACGGCAAACTAGAGACATGGCAACCAGAAACACGGCAACTAGAGACATGGCAACCAGAAACACAGCAACTAGAGACATGGCAACCAGAAACAGCAACTAGAGACATGGCAACCAGAAACACAGCAACTAGAGACATGGCAACCAGAAACACGGCAACTAGAGACATGGCAACCAAAACACGGCAACTAGAAACATGGCAACCAGAAACACAGCAACTAGAGACATGGCAACCAGAAACAGCAACTAGAGACATGGCAACCAGAAACAAGGCAACTAGAGACATGGCAACCAGAAACATGGCAACTAGAGACATGGCAACCAGAAACACAGCAACTAGAGACATGGCAGAAACACGGCAACTAGAGACATGGCAACCAGAAACAGCAACCAGACATGGCAACCAGAAACACGGCAACTAGAGACATGGCAACCAGAAAACACAGCAACTAGAGACATGGCAACCAGAAACAGCAACTAGAGACATGGCAACCAGAAACACAGCAACTAGAGACATGGCAACCAGAAACACGGCAACTAGAGACATGGCAACCAGAAACAGCAACTAGAGACATGGCAACCAGAAACACAGCAACTAGAGACATGGCAACCAGAAACACAGCAACTAGAGACATGGCAACCAGAAACACGGCAATTAGAGACATGGCAACCAGAAACACAGCAACTAGAGACATGGCAACCAGAAACACGGCAATTAGAGACATGGCAACCAGAAACACAGCAACTAGAGACATGGCAACCAGAAACATGGCAACTAGAGACATGGCAAACCAGAAACACGGCAACTAGAGACATGGCAACCAGAAACACAGCAACTAGAGACATGGCAACCAGAAACACAGCAACTAGAGACATGGCAACCAGAAACAGCAACTAGAGACATGGGCAGAAACACGGCAATTAGAGACATGGCAACCAGAAACACAGCAACTAGAGACATGGCAACCAGAAATGGCAACTAGAGACATGGCAACCAGAAACACGGCAACTAGAGACATGGCAACCAGAAACACAGCAACTAGAGACATGGCAACCAGAAACACAGCAACTAGAGACATGGCAACCAGAAACACAGCAACTAGAGACATGGCAACCAAAACAGCAACTAGAGACATGGCAACCAGAAACACAGCAACTACAGACATGGCAACCAGAAACACAGCAACTAGAGACATGGCAACCAGAAACACAGCAACTAGAGACATGGCAACCAGAAACAGCAACTAGAGACATGGCAACCAGAAACACAGCAACTACAGACATGGCAACCAGAAACACAGCAACTAGAGACATGGCAACCAGAAACACAGCAACTAGAGACATGGCAACCAGAAACACAGCAACTAGAGACATGGCAACCAGAAACACAGCAACTACAGACATGGCAACCAGAAACACAGCAACTACAGACATGGCAACCAGAAACACAGCAACTAGAGACATGGCAACCAGAAACACAGCAACTAGAGACATGGCAACCAGAAACACAGCAACTACAGACATGGCAACCAGAAACACAGCAACTAGAGACATGGCAACCAGAAACACAGCAACTACAGACATGGCCAGAAACACGGCAACTAGAGACATGGCAACCAGAAACACAGCAACTAGAGACATGGCAACCAGAAACACAGCAACTACAGACATGGCAACCAGAAAACACAGCAACTAGAGACATGGCAACCAGAAACACGGCAACTAGAGACATGGCAACCAGAAACACAGCAACTAGAGACATGGCAACCAGAAACACAGCAACTAGAGACATGGCAACCAGAAACATGGCAACTAGAGACATGGCAACCAGAAACAGCAACTAGAGACATGGCAACCAGAAACACAGCAACTAGAGACATGGCAACCAGAAACACGGCAACTAGAGACATGGCAACCAGAAACACAGCAACTAGAGACATGGCAACCAGAAACACAGCAAGAGACATGGGAACCAGAAACACAGCAACTAGAGACATGGCAACCAGAAACACAGCAACTACAGACATGGCAACCAGAAACACAGCAACTAGAGACATGGCAACCAGAAACATGGCAACTAGAGACATGGCAACCAGAAACACAGCAACTAGAGACATGGCAACCAGAAACACAGCAACTAGAGACATGGCAACCAGAAACACAGCAACTAGAGACATGGCAACCAGAAACACAGCAACTACAGACATGGCAACCAGAAACACAGCAACTAGAGACATGGCAACCAGAAACACAGCAACTAGAGACATGGCAACCAGAAACACATCAACTAGAGACATGGCAACCAGAAACACAGCAACTAGAGACATGGCAACCAGAAACACAGCAACTAGAGACATGGCAACCAGAAACACGGCAACTAGAGACATGGCAACCAGAAACACAGCAACTAGAGACATGGCAACCAGAAACATGGCAACTAGAGACATGGCAACCAGAAACACGGCAACTAGAGACATGGCAACCAGAAACACAGCAACTAGAGACATGGCAACCAGAAACAGCAACTAGAGACATGGCAACCAGAAACACAGCAACTAGAGACATGGCAACCAGAAACAGCAACTAGAGACATGGCAACCAGAAAACACAGCAACTAGAGACATGGCAACCAGAAAACAGCAACTAGAGACATGGCAACCAGAAACACAGCAACTAGAGACATGGCAACCAGAAACACAGCAACTAGAGACATGGCAACCAGAAACACGGCAACTAGAGACATGGCAACCAGAAACACAGCAACTAGAGACATGGCAACCAGAAACAAAGCAACTACAGACATGGCAACCAGAAACACAGCAACTAGAGACATGGCAACCAGAAACATGGCAACTAGAGACATGGCAACCAGAAACACGGCAACTAGAGACATGGCAACCAGAAACACAGCAACTAGAGACATGGCAACCAGAAACATGGCAACTAGAGACATGGCAACCAGAAACACAGCAACTAGAGACATGGCAACCAGAAACATGGCAACTAGAGACATGGCAACCAGAAACACGGCAACTAGAGACATGGCAACCAGAAATACAGCAACTAGAGACATGGCAACCAGAAACACGGCAACTAGAGACATGGCAACCAGAAACACAGCAACTAGAGACATGGCAACCAGAAACACGGCAACTAGAGACATGGCAACCAGAAACACAGCAACTAGAGACATGGCAACCAGAAACACAGCAACTAGAGACATGGCAACCAGAAACACAGCAACTAGAGACATGGCAACCAGAAACACAGCAACTAGAGACATGGCAACCAGAAACACAGCAACTACAGACATGGCAACCAGAAACACAGCAACTAGAGACATGGCAACCAGAAACACAGCAACTAGAGACATGGCAACCAGAAACACATCAACTAGAGACATGGCAACCAGAAACACAGCAACTAGAGACATGGCAACCAGAAACATGGCAACTAGAGACATGGCAACCAGAAACACGGCAACTAGAGACATGGCAACCAGAAACACAGCAACTAGAGACATGGCAACCAGAAACACAGCAACTAGAGACATGGCAACCAGAAACAGCAACTAGAGACATGGCAACCAGAAACACAGCAACTAGAGACATGGCAACCAGAAACAGCAACTAGAGACATGGCAACCAGAAACACAGCAACTAGAGACATGGCAACCAGAAACACAGCAACTAGAGACATGGCAACCAGAAACATGGCAACTAGAGACATGGCAACCAGAAACACAGCAACTAGAGACATGGCAACCAGAAACACGGCAACTAGAGACATGGCAACCAGAAACACAGCAACTAGAGACATGGCAACCAGAAACACAGCAACTAGAGACATGGCAACCAGAAACACAGCAACTAGAGACATGGCAACCAGAAACACAGCAACTAGAGACATGGCAACCAGAAACACAGCAACTAGAGACATGGCAACCAGAAACACGGCAACTAGAGACATGGCAACCAGAAACACAGCAACTAGAGACATGGCAACCAGAAACATGGCAACTAGAGACATGGCAACCAGAAACATGGCAACTAGAGACATGGCAACCAGAAATACAGCAACTAGAGACATGGCAACCAGAAACACGGCAACTAGAGACATGGCAACCAGAAACATGGCAACTAGAGACATGGCAACCAGAAACAGCAACTAGAGACATGGCAACCAGAAACACAGCAACTAGAGACATGGCAACCAGAAACACAGCAACTAGAGACATGGCAACCAGAAACACAGCAACTAGAGACATGGCAACCAGAAACAGCAACTAGAGACATGGCAACCAGAAACACGGCAACTAGAGACATGGCAACCAGAAACATGGCAACTAGAGACATGGCAACCAGAAACATGGCAACTAGAGACATGGCAACCAGAAACACAGCAACTAGAGACATGGCAACCAGAAACACAGCAACTAGAGACATGGCAACCAGAAACACAGCAACTAGAGACATGGCAACCAGAAATACAGCAACTAGAGACATGGCAACCAGAAACACAGCAACTAGAGACATGGCAACCAGAAACACAGCAACTACAGACATGGCAACCAGAAACACAGCAACTAGAGACATGGCAACCAGAAACATGGCAACTAGAGACATGGCAACCAGAAACATGGCAACTAGAGACATGGCAACCAGAAACATGGCAACTAGAGACATGGCAACCAGAAATACAGCAACTAGAGACATGGCAACCAGAAACATGGCAACTAGAGACATGGCAACCAGAAACACAGCAACTAGAGACATGGCAACCAGAAACACGGCAACTAGAGACATGGCAACCAGAAACACAGCAACTAGAGACATGGCAACCAGAAACACGGCAACTAGAGACATGGCAACCAGAAACACAGCAACTAGAGACATGGCAACCAGAAACAGCAACTAGAGACATGGCAACCAGAAACACAGCAACTAGAGACATGGCAACCAGAAACATGGCAACTAGAGACATGGCAACCAGAAACATGGCAACTAGAGACATGGCAACCAGAAACACAGCAACTAGAGACATGGCAACCAGAAACACAGCAACTAGAGACATGGCAACCAGAAACATGGCAACTAGAGACATGGCAACCAGAAACATGGCAACTAGAGACATGGCAACCAGAAACACAGCAACTAGAGACATGGCAACCAGAAACATGGCAACTAGAGACATGGCAACCAGAAACACAGCAACTAGAGACATGGCAACCAGAAACACAGCAACTAGAGACATGGCAACCAGAAACACAGCAACTAGAGACATGGCAACCAGAAACACAGCAACTAGAGACATGGCAACCAGAAACACAGCAACTAGAGACATGGCAACCAGAAACATGGCAACTAGAGACATGGCAACCAGAAACACAGCAACTAGAGACATGGCAACCAGAAACATGGCAACTAGAGACATGGCAACCAGAAACACAGCAACTAGAGACATGGCAACCAGAAACATGGCAACTAGAGACATGGCAACCAGAAACACAGCAAACTAGAGACATGGCAACCAGAAACATGGCAACTAGAGACATGGCAACCAGAAATACAGCAACTAGAGACATGGCAACCAGAAACATGGCAACTAGAGACATGGCAACCAGAAACACAGCAACTAGAGACATGGCAACCAGAAACACAGCAACTAGAGACATGGCAACCAGAAATACAGCAACTAGAGACATGGCAACCAGAAACACAGCAACTAGAGACATGGCAACCAGAAACACAGCAACTAGAGACATGGCAACCAGAAACATGGCAACTAGAGACATGGCAACCAGAAACACAGCAACTAGAGACATGGCAACCAGAAACATGGCAACTAGAGACATGGCAACCAGAAACACAGCAACTAGAGACATGGCAACCAGAAACATGGCAACTAGAGACATGGCAACCAGAAACACAGCAACTAGAGACATGGCAACCAGAAACACAGCAACTAGAGACATGGCAACCAGAAACAGCAACTAGAGACATGGCAACCAGAAACACAGCAACTAGAGACATGGCAACCAGAAACACAGCAACTAGAGACATGGCAACCAGAAACACAGCAACTAGAGACATGGCAACCAGAAACACGGCAACTACAGACATGGCAACCAGACAGAAAAAGTGACTCAAACATCCAGACATGAAGTGAAATCAGTTCATCTGATCAGAGTTTCGGGTTTAACTCATGAAAACAGAAGGATGCAGTTTGACGCCATCATGAATCAATACACCCAGATTATTGATCAAAGATCCAGTTACTAATCAATAGCAACTCCAACCAGCCTCAGGGTTTCCACACTGGATTTAAAGGAACTGTTTCAGCAGTTTTCAGTTTGTTCTAGATCTGTGATGCATAGAAGCTGAATGCTGCTTCCCCATGTTTGGTTCTGATGCAGAACCAGAACCAGAAGGTTGGTCCAGCAGCAGCAGCAGCTGCAGCAGCAGCAGCAGCAGCAGCAGCAGCAGATCTTTAATCCATTCAGTGATTTATAAACTACCAGCAGTTTAAAGTCTCCCAGTGAAGGAATGTAGAACCAGCCGGTCTCTATCTTCCTGGTTCTAGTCAGAACTCCAGCAGCAGGTTCTGGTCCGTTGGGCTGTCAGTCAGACCTGCTGCAGGAATCAAAGCCTGGCTGAGTTTCTCTGATCGGAGACTTTAGGATGCAGGAAGGAATCTAAGCGTGCCAAACTGGAAACAGATGCCAGGCACTCAGGAGCCAAAATTGGCCTGAGAGAAAACACCTAAAGGTTAAAGGTCAAGGGTTGTAACCCAGAGACAGAGGAACTGCGCCTGAGACCTTACATGCACCACGAAAGGAGACTCCACTGAACTGGAAAGATGAATGACTGTGTGTTAGCAGTCATTCATTTTGTTTGCCCTCTCCTGACAGCTGCTAAACTTTTCTAACTAGTTGGAACAAAAGAGGAAAAGTGGGATGGAAATCTCAGAGCGGCTTTAGGAAATCTCAGAGCGGCTTTAGGAGACGCGATGCAGAGATCGGTTTTCTCTGCTCTCCACTCAGTGTGAAATTAAATAACTTGTTTCTCTCTTCTTTTTCCAAGTGAAAGTGCTCCAGTTATTTGAACCTGACACTTTGGAACCGGCTTTATGTGGCTCTGGAGCGTTGAGGCAGAGGTCAGCCTGATTGAGGCAGAGGTCAGAGGTCAGCCTGATTTCTGGTTTACAGCTGTGCCCTAACTAATAACTAATGACTGGATCTGGTTCTGGTTGTGACCCGTCGTCGCCAGCCGAGTCCTACCTGCGCCGTCCAGCTGACACGCCCACTTGCTCAGCTTGGCATCTATTCCCACGCAGTGGCTGAGCTGCTGGATGAAGACCCGGGCCCAGACCCGGTTCTTGCGCTCCAGCAGCAGCTCCACGGCCTGGCCCAGCGTCTGCAGCCGCTCCTGCTGCCAGTGGAGCAGGCGGCCGGCCAGGCGGTTCCCCCGTGCCCAGTCCAGCTCCAGCCAGGGCCGCAGGCCGCTGGCCAGCGCCGACACCTGCAGGCCCTGCTCCTCCCGCAGCAGGTCCAGGTTCTGGTTGATCTGCAGCAGAACCCGGTCTCTGTACACCAACCAGGCTGCAGGAGAAACAACAGGACAGTGAAAAACGGCAAATCGGAAAAGTCTTTCTGGGTTTGGTTCAAGAGCAAATACTGAAACCCAAATGAGAAACGAAGCTGCACTTCAGCAGACCCTGCATAAATCTTTAGCGCCGGTTCGTTCCACCGGGCCGGTTGTCCGGTTCCACCGGGCCGGTTGTCCGGTTCCACCGGGCCGGTTGTCCGGTTCCACCGGGCCGGTTGTCCGGTTCCACCGGGCCGGTTGTCCGGTTCCACCGGGCCGGTTGTCCGGTTCCACCGGGCCGGTTGTCCGGTTCCGCCGGGCCATTTTTCCACCTTCTCAGTTCTGATAGCTGAGGTTTATTGTCGGCTGATTCCGGTCCGATACAGAATTGAATTGTTGATTTAAAACATTCAAGTTTTAAACATCATCTTATTCCTCTGCATCAGTTCATTTTAATTCACCAACAGCGCCACCAGCTGGTCAAACATGTGAAATCAACTTTAATTTGCCGCTGGAGAAAAACAGCCGACAGAAAATAAAACTGAAACTGGTTGATTGTTTTGGAATTAAACTTTCATCCAGAGTTTGATTGAGTAAATGATATAAAGTAAAATAATATTTTACATATTTTTTTGTCTAATTTCAGGATGAAGCCCAGAGGAACTCGATCCCGTTCAGAACTGAAAGCGTAAAGTTATACTGAATAGATCAGACATGTCACTGACACTAAATCTAGAATTTCCAATATCTGTTTTATTGATCTGATATCAACATCGGTATCGATCCAATTTCCATTTTGCTATTGGAACCTAAACTTTTCATCAATATTAAGATTTAATATTTCTGATCTGATGTCTGTTACGTTTTATTTGCTCTCAGGCCAAACGTTCTTGGTGAGGTTTGCACTGGAAAGTCCTGTGGAAGGAAAAACGTTCAGAGTGAAGCGGACCTTTCTGTTGATTCTGCGATCCAGAGTCGTCCTTCTGCAGGATTTCCTGGTTGTTGGTTTTCGGATCCTTAAACGTCTGTTTGAACTGTTTCCTCTTCTGCTTCTGATCTCTTTGGACTTTAACTTCTTCACACTGGCAACAAACACCAGAAGAAAAACAGAGACTCATTAGTTACTCTTCAACACAGCGCCCACTAACAATGACTTTGGCAATCAATTAATCAATTGATTGGTTGAATAAAAATGTACACATTCTATAGATCTGTCATTGAACCACCGTCCTCTTTTAAACAGCAATAGAAAAACTTTAAAAGATGCCATTAAACTATTATATTCCATTTTAATTAAACATTTTATCGGCTAAAATGCAGCATTGTTTTAATGAGTCTGACGAGTTTTAACTAAAACATTTTCAGACTAAAATCTCTAAACTTCGATCACCGTTCATTTCCTATATCAAATAATGCCAAGTAAAAAAGGAAACATTCAAAGTTAAATTGCAGGTTGCATCAACATAAACAATCCTGAGTTACTAAATCAAAACTTCCTGACAGCCTGGCTCTGATTGGCTGCTTCTGACTGAGCGAGGACTGCAGAGGGGATCGATTATTTTCAGAGATTACCCATCTCATGCCAGGACAGCGAAAGAGTTAACGCACATCTAAAATCCGTTTTAGCTCCTGCTGCGGCTCTCAGCTCTCGGGGTCAGAGTTCACCGTCTGCAGCGGCTCCGTCTGAAATATTCCCAGCAGTCGGTCCCACAGCGGCAGCAGAACCAGCGACTCGCTCCTTGAATTATGGTTGGGTTATTTGTTTAGCTTTCTGACGTGATGCTGATCCGCTGCGTGTCGGTAGTAGCTGCGCTGCTCAACCTGCTGACTGACGTCTCCTGTTCCCGCATGGAGCCTCGATGGAGCCAAATCAATCAAGTTCTTTTCATATCGCATTAGATTGGTTGTGACGCATCGTGAAGAGCTTCACCTCCAGGTCGTTCTCCGCCGCAACACGCAAACGTTCCCGTTCACTCAGAGCGCTAAAGCTGCTGCGCCGCGAGAAGGAGGCAGGAGCTGCAGGCTGAGACGGCAGATACAGGCGATCGGATTCGGTGATCGGCAACCAGACGCTGATCGATCGGACACTTTTTCACAGAAATCAGCCGATCGCTCGGCGGCCGGCAGATCCATCGTCACACCTCTAGTACATATTTTAATTTGTCCTAAAAACCAAATTTACCTGTCATTTTTGAGTGTTTACTCCAGTTAATGATTACTCGATTGCTAAGTTAGTTGATTATTATTGATTAATTTATTAATCTAATTAATCGAGTCAGGCCTACAATTTATACTATAAATACCTTGACAGAAATATTCAATAGTCATTCAGCTCCAAAACTAATTCTTACGACACAATAGCCGCCGGCAACATGTTTCAAAGCATTTCATTCAAAAATGTTGATGGAAGAAAATTTTAAGTTTCTTTGTAAGAAAGCATTGGAGCCATTTTCTAATCATTTCTCTGGTAGTCCGAGGAGAAACTGGCGTTGGACTTCAGCCGCCTCACCTGGTGGCTTTCTGGTTAACTCGAGGTTTCTTTGGCAGCTCTGGTTTCGTGATGGTCATTTCAAACTGAAAACACAAAGCAAAGCGGTCAGCGCTGACCCGCCGTTCACAGCGACGCTCCTCTGGACGTTTTCTCACCTTACATTTCACCAAACCCGTAGGACCAAAGATTCGTATAGAGCAGATTTTACCCAGACAGTCGGGAGTCAAACACGCCTCATTCAGGACATCCTGCGAAACAAACTCATGATTCCCCATGTCAGGGAATCGAATCTGCAGGAAAGAGGAATGAAAAGCAAACCTTTTCATTCTTTTCACTGAACTTGGTAGATTTTAGGCTCTTCCAGCAGCTGATGTGAAATTCAACCTTGCAGCTCTGACAGCAGCATATCTGAATGTAGCCCTGAAACAACAAGCTTCTCGTTCAAAACTCAACGCGGTTTTCTCCCAACCACAGAAATGAGCTCCTGCTTACCTTAAAATCTGGGTCAGTGAAATAGATCTCAGCTTTTAGAGGGCAAAGACATTTTCAAGACGACAGACGGCGTCCGGGGCGGGGGGAAATCTACACAACTCTATCGATTCCTCAAGCATCTCCTGGAACAGACAGGATGATTCAGGAGTTTCCTCACCGCGACACATTCGAGACCATTCAGGACGCACCAACCTTGAAACTGTCCGCTTGTGTTTCTTTAACAATCTCTTGGTCAACGGCCAGGTGAGTTTACCTGGTGTAATTTGATTCTTCACCATCTGCAGCGAATCTGAAAACTGCTGCATGGCAACTTTAAACCTGCATAACAGGAGGAGACACAGCTGGAGAACAAGAAACGAGGACATAGGAGACACTTCCTGGAACGGCCTAGACAAAACCTGATCACCATGTTTATTACACCAAATTATTCTCAGAAAATCAGATTTTAGTTAGTGGAGCTGCCTGCAAAACCAGTCAGAAAGTCAACAACTAAACTTTTGTCTTTTCCAGCAGCCATTGTACAGCAGGAATGCTGGCGATCAGCTGGGTTGCTAGACAACAGGGCTGTGCCGGTCAAGTGCAATTTATCAGAACTCGTTTTCTAAGCACCAAAAATAGTAACTTACTGCCAGAAATCAGCTGGGTCTTTTTTTGAAACAGAAACTAAAATTTAGGAGCAAAAATATGCAAAAGGTCAATTTTAAACAACAAACGCACCGATTTTCTCGTAGAAACACTCTGCCGATGGCATAATAAACCAGACACTGGAACGTTCGCTCTTCAAACGATTTCATCTCTCCAGGAGTTTCTCTGCTTCTGCCAGTTCCTGCAGCAAGAATCATCAAGAAAACGGTTTTTAGACGCACAACAGAGCAGAAATGACAAAGTAGGAGCTGACAGACCAACAAATCTGGGACTGAGAGGAAACATTTCCCAGAGGTTTAAAGTTTCAGGATTACGTTTTTGCAGAGTTGCAGCGCTCAGGCTGCCGTTGCTCTGATCCGACACTTATTCCCTCTGGTTCTCAAAGCTGCGAAGATGGAAAACCTTCAAACTATACGTGTGACCATCGATCGGACGGCCAGCGGTCATAAGCGGCCAATTTCTGTGAAAAAGTGTACGATCTGTGATCGATCACTGTCTCCCGTTGCCAATCATCTGTATCTGCCTTCTCAGCCTGAAGCTCCTGTTTCCTTCTCGCTGCACAGAAACAAATCCTGTAGTGAGGAGCTTTAGCGCTCCGAGTTAACGGGGACGTTTGGGTGATCGGCCTCATGGATGATCAGTATCGGCAGCAAAAAACCCTGATCGGAGCATCTCTGGTTTAAACAGCAACAGTCTTCAGTCAGGCCGCTTCATATTCCCTGCACTGACTGCTACTGCAGCACGATTCTTTGGAGTTGCTTGGATGATACCAGTTACGATGAAATTTAACATTTCTGAATTGAATGTTTCTGAAAATTTATGGTGATAAATTGTGCGTTTATAAACTGTATAATAATTAGAAAATCACTGTCAGCCTTTAGAGCCTGATGGTGATTGTGTTTCCAAGCTGTTCTGTAGATGTGCTGCTTTTGTCTACTTCCTGTTGCCAGACTGGTTCTAGTCAGGCATTAATGTTTGGCTGCTTATAATTCAGCTTTTTTTCTTGCATCTATTTGTGTTTCATCCATTGGCCGCTTTTAATTTAGGGTTATTTCAAGGCATTTTGATGAAAATGTTCCAAACCGCGTTCCTCTGGGCGACTCACCTCCGGCTGTCCGATTTCTATCAAGGCCGACGCTCGACCGAACAGCAGCAGCAGAACATCCAGAGAGGAAAGTCCCAGTTTCTGAGAAAAACATTCAGATCCATCAAGTAGTCACTGAAACAGATTAATCACAATTAATCAATAATTCAAAGAATCGTCAACTAATTAACTGGAATGAACAGGTTAAAAAAAACGTATCAGTTAAATTATCTCTGACCCCACCAGAACATCCCAAACCAAACTAATCATGACCGAACCCGCCCTGCTGCTCCTCCCATCTGAACTGACATGCAACAGCGGCAGAGCGCCCCCTTCAGGCCCTCGGAGTGAACCCTGGACTTTGTTCCAGATGTTGTCAAATAGTATTTTCTAAGTATTTTCCAGAAGCTTCAATAGCAGGCTGACGCCCATCAGTTGGAGGGATGAAAAAGCCAGACATCATGCCACATTGTCCCACATTACTCCGGTCGTCTTTACCACATTTTTTCAGCACTAGTTACCAGATGTTCGGCAGTTTCTTACCTCGGCCGGCGCGGCTTCCAGCAGCCCCAGCGCCTGGCTGAAGGCCTGCTCTGCGTTGCGGCTGCGGAGATCCGACAGCGCGCTCTGAGCCTCCTGCACCAGAAACCGAAGCTCCTTACATAAATCTGCTTTGCTGTCGGCCATCTTCTGGTTCTGGTTCTGATGGACACAAACGCAGCGGGTCAGAGTCGGAAAAACCCAGTGATTAAAAGAACCGACAGGAAGAAAGACTCACCGCTTTCTGCATTTCGCTTTGGCTCTTTGACTTGATTTTAGAACCACTGAGGTCGTCGCGCTCACTGCAGAGAGAGCAGAGGCTGTTTCCACAGACCTTGGGCACTACAGGTACTACAGGGAAACACGGGGTGCCACGGGGAAACACGGGGTGCCACGGGGAAACACGGGGTGCCACGGGGAAACACGGGGTGCCACGGGGCAACACGGGGTGCCACGGGGCAACACGGGGTGCCACAGGGCAACACGGGTGCCACAGGACACTACAGGGTAACACAGGGTGCCACAGGGAAACACGGGGTGCCACAGGACACTACAGGGTAACACGGGGTGCCACAGGGAAACACGGGGTGCCACAGGACACTACAGGGTAACACGGGGTGCCACAGGACACTACAGGGTAACACGGGGTGCCACAGGGAAACACGGGGTGCCACAGGACACTACAGGGCAACACGGGGCGCCAAAGGGAAACACGGGGTGCCACAGGACACTACAGGGTAACACAGGGTGCCACAGGGAAACACGGGGTGCCACAGGACACTACAGGGTAACACGGGGTGCCACAGGGAAACACGGGGTGCCACAGAACACTACAGGGAAACACGGGTGCCACGGGGAAACACGGGGTGCCACGGGAAACAGGGGGTGCCACGGGGCAACACGGGGTGCCACAGGGCAACACGGGGTAACACGGGGTGCCACAGGGAAACACGGGGTGCCACAGAACACTACAGGGCAACACGGGGTGCCACAGGGAAACACGGGGTGCCACAGGACACTACAGGGTAACACGGGGTGACACAGGGTAACACGGGTTGCCACAGGGAAACACGGGGTGCCACAGGACGCTACAGGGTAACACAGGGTGCCACAGGGAAACATGGGGTGCACAGGACACTACAGGGTAACACGGGGTTCCACAGGACACAATACTCTACAGCAGGGTGTCAAACTCCAGTCCTCAAGGGCCGCTGTCCTGCAGTTTTTAGATGTGCCACAGGTACAAAACACTGGGATGGAATGGCTTAATTTCCTCCTCCTTGTTCTGCAGAGCCTTAATGACCTAATTATTCTATTCAGGTGGTGCAGCAAAGGCACATCTAAAAGTTGCAGGACACCGGCCCTCCAGGACTGGAGTTTGACACCGCTGCTCTACAGGATACGCCGCCGCTATGCTTTGCAGAATGAGCTTTCTCGAGACAGAGGAAGGAAAGAGACATTCCGTTTGTGGTTTCTAAATTCCAAAGTTGTCAGTCAGCCTACATGTCCAAATATAACCCTGTGCTAAAATGACATCAAAGAAAGAAAGGTCTAGTCAAAGATAGAACCCGGTTTTGCTCTTGGACATCATGCTGTGTTTAAAGGGAAGGGACCGTCTTTACAAAGATTTTCACTAAACAGGAGGAAGTCTGATGAACAAATCAAAGGGACGACGTGTGACCTCACTGACCTTCTGGATGTTTTGAGTCGCCCCTCCGGGTCGGACAGCGCTTCAGACACAAACAGTCGTTAAAACACAAATTAAAACACAAATTAAAACACAAACAGTCGTTAAAACTCTCAGCAAAACATACGACACGTAACACATCCGTGTTCCCCGGGTTCGTTTGTCGCAAGGGAACCAGGATGAGAACGCTGCCGACCAATCACAGAGCTGCTTGCTGAGAACATTCCTTCCCATTTATTCTCAAGTTCTTAGGAAAATGGTTCCAAACAAAGTAAGGCTGGTTTGAATTCAATTTGGGTGAGAAAAATTTACATTCTAATTTTACACACAAGAATTAAAGTCAAGTTCAAACATTCAGTGGTTTGGATGATTAAAGAATTTTTGGCCCAAATCAAGGAGAGACCTCCGACAGTCGCCGACGGCCACTGGTGAGGAGGGAGCCGGGTGTTTGGAACCTTCATGCATTCAGCATGAGGAGGAGCTTTTCTGCATTAAAATGATTTCCATTTGGACTGATGTGATGTTCTGGGTTTCCATTAAAGTTCAGATAATCGATTAGTGTTTTCCTCCGATTGATTAAATTCCCCTGTTGGAGCCCGAGTATCAAACTTTCTGTTCTTGTATTTGTAGTATTAACGTGAATATTTACTAACATGAAATAAACTCAACACCAAATTATTTAAACTGGAAAACAAACTAACCTGTCTTCTTGTCCGTTTTCCCTCGATGACCTAAAAACACAAATTAATGATCAACATGAATTACAGCCAGATATAAAAACCCACAAACACTCAGTAGTGCTGACTAAAACTTACAAATGATGCGAAAACACCAACAGACTCAAAACAATTTCTGTTTGTCTCACATTTTTAAATCTAGCTTAAATATTCATGTAGTCTTTATCCCAAAAGAAAAGTTCAATGATCAGCGTCTGCCAGCTGAACGCTTGAGGTTGCACGACTTCCAGATAGGAAGT